TAAGAGATTCACGGAATGTAAGAGATTCACATGATAAGAGTGGAAGGAATTTCGAGACGTCTCAAAATACAACTTTTATCGAGTGGAAGGAATGTAAGAGATTCAGGGAATGTAAGAGATTCAGGGAATGTAAGAGATTCACGGAATGTAAGAGATTCAGGGAATGTAAGAGATTCGGGGAATGTAAGAGATTCAGGGAATGTAAGAGATTCAGGGAATGTAAGAGATTCACGGAATGTAAGAGATTCAGGGAATGTAAGAGATTCACGGAATGTAAGAGATTCAGGGAATGTAAGAGATTCACGGAATGTAAGAGATTCACGGAATGTAAGAGATTCGGGGAATGTAAGAGATTCAGGGAATGTAAGAGATTCACAGAATGTAAGAGATTCAGGGAATGTAAGAGATTCAGGGAATGTAAGAGATTCACGGAATGTAAGAGATTCAGGGAATGTAAGAGATTCACTGAATGTAAGAGATTCACGGAATGTAAGAGATTCAGGGAATGTAAGAGATTCACGGAATGTAAGAGATTCACGGAATGTAAGAGATTCACGTGAGAAGAGTGGAAAGAATTTCGAGACGTCTCAAAATACAACTTTTATCGAGTGGAAGGAATGTAAGAGATTCAGGGAATGTAAGAGATTCAGGGAATGTAAGAGATTCAGGGAATGTAAGAGATTCACGGAATGTAAGAGATTCAGGGAATGTAAGAGATTCACGGAATGTAAGAGATTCACGGAATGTAAGAGATTCACGGAATGTAAGAGATTCACATGATAAGAGTGGAAGGAATTTCGAGACGTCTCAAAATACAACTTTTATCGAGTGGAAGGAATGTAAGAGATTCAGGGAATGTAAGAGATTCAGGGAATGTAAGAGATTCACGGAATGTAAGAGATTCAGGGAATGTAAGAGATTCACGGAATGTAAGAGATTCAGGGAATGTAAGAGATACAGGGAATGTAAGAGATTCACGGAATGTAAGAGATTCACGGAATGTAAGAGATTCGGGGAATGTAAGAGATTCAGGGAATGTAAGAGATTCACAGAATGTAAGAGATTCAGGGAATGTAAGAGATTCAGGGAATGTAAGAGATTCACGGAATGTAAGAGATTCAGGGAATGTAAGAGATTCACAGAATGTAAGAGATTCACGGAATGTAAGAGATTCAGGGAATGTAAGAGATTCAGGGAATGTAAGAGATTCAGGGAATGTAAGAGATTCACGGAATGTAAGAGATTCAGGGAATGCAAGAGATTCACGGAATGTAAGAGATTCAGGGAATGTAAGAGATTCAGGGAATGTAAGAGATTCACAGAATGTAAGAGATTCACGGAATGTAGGAGATTCAGGGAATGTAAGAGATTCACGGAATGTAAGAGATTCAGGGAATGCAAGAGATTCACGGAATGTAAGAGATTCACGGAATGTAAGAGATTCAGGGAATGTAAGAGATTCAGGGAATGTAAGAGATTCACGGAATGTAAGAGATTCAGGGAATGTAAGAGATTCACGGAATGTAAGAGATTCACGGAATGTAAGAGATTCACGGAATGTAAGAGATTCGGGGAATGTAAGAGATTCAGGGAATGTAAGAGATTCAGGGAATGTAAGAGATTCAGGGAATGTAAGAGATTCACGGAATGTAAGAGATTCACGGAATGTAAGAGATTCAGGGAATGTAAGAGATTCAGGGAATGTAAGAGATTCACGGAATGTAAGAGATTCAGGGAATGTAAGAGATTCACGGAATGTAAGAGATTCACGGAATGTAAGAGATTCACGGAATGTAAGAGATTCACATGATAAGAGTGGAAGGAATTTCGAGATGTCTCAAAATACAACTTTTATCGAGTGGAAGGAATGTAAGAGATTCAGGGAATGTAAGAGATTCAGGGAATGTAAGAGATTCACGGAATGTAAGAGATTCACGGAATGTAAGAGATTCAGGGAATGTAAGAGATTCAGGGAATGTAAGAGATTCACGGAATGTAAGAGATTCACGGAATGTAAGAGATTCACGGAATGTAAGAGATTCGGGGAATGTAAGAGATTCAGGGAATGTAAGAGATTCAGGGAATGTAAGAGATTCAGGGAATGTAAGAGATTCACGGAATGTAAGAGATTCAGGGAATGTAAGAGATTCACGGAATGTAAGAGATTCAGGGAATGTAAGAGATTCACGGAATGTAAGAGATTCACGGAATGTAAGAGATTCGGGGAATGTAAGAGATTCGGGGAATGTAAGAGATTCGGGGAATGTAAGAGATTCAGGGAATGTAAGAGATTCAGGGAATGTAAGAGATTCAGGGAATGTAAGAGATTCACGGAATGTAAGAGATTCACGGAATGTAAGAGATTCACGGAATGTAAGAGATTCGGGGAATGTAAGAGATTCAGGGAATGTAAGAGATTCAGGGAATGTAAGAGATTCAGGGAATGTAAGAGATTCACGGAATGTAAGAGATTCAGGGAATGTAAGAGATTCACGGAATGTAAGAGATTCAGGGAATGTAAGAGATTCACGGAATGTAAGAGATTCACGGAATGTAAGAGATTCACGGAATGTAAGAGATTCGGGGAATGTAAGAGATTCGGGGAATGTAAGAGATTCAGGGAATGTAAGAGATTCAGGGAATGTAAGAGATTCAGGGAATGTAAGAGATTCACGGAATGTAAGAGATTCACGGAATGTAAGAGATTCAGGGAATGTAAGAGATTCAGGGAATGTAAGAGATTCACGGAATGTAAGAGATTCACGGAATGTAAGAGATTCACGGAATGTAAGAGATTCGGGGAATGTAAGAGATTCAGGGAATGTAAGAGATTCAGGGAATGTAAGAGATTCAGGGAATGTAAGAGATTCACGGAATGTAAGAGATTCAGGGAATGTAAGAGATTCACGGAATGTAAGAGATTCAGGGAATGTAAGAGATTCACGGAATGTAAGAGATTCACGGAATGTAAGAGATTCACGGAATGTAAGAGATTCGGGGAATGTAAGAGATTCGGGGAATGTAAGAGATTCAGGGAATGTAAGAGATTCAGGGAATGTAAGAGATTCAGGGAATGTAAGAGATTCACGGAATGTAAGAGATTCACGGAATGTAAGAGATTCACGGAATGTAAGAGATTCGGGGAATGTAAGAGATTCAGGGAATGTAAGAGATTCAGGGAATGTAAGAGATTCAGGGAATGTAAGAGATTCACGGAATGTAAGAGATTCAGGGAATGTAAGAGATTCACGGAATGTAAGAGATTCAGGGAATGTAAGAGATTCACGGAATGTAAGAGATTCACGGAATGTAAGAGATTCACGGAATGTAAGAGATTCGGGGAATGTAAGAGATTCGGGGAATGTAAGAGATTCAGGGAATGTAAGAGATTCAGGGAATGTAAGAGATTCAGGGAATGTAAGAGATTCACGGAATGTAAGAGATTCACGGAATGTAAGAGATTCAGGGAATGTAAGAGATTCAGGGAATGTAAGAGATTCACGGAATGTAAGAGATTCACGGAATGTAAGAGATTCACGTGAGAAGAGTGGAAAGAATTTCGAGACGTCTCAAAATACAACTTTTATCGAGTGGAAGGAATGTAAGAGATTCAGGGAATTTAAGAGATTCAGGGAATGTAAGAGATTCAGGGAATGTAAGAGATTCACGGAATGTAAGAGATTCAGGGAATGTAAGAGATTCACGGAATGTAAGAGATTCACGGAATGTAAGAGATTCACGGAATGTAAGAGATTCACATGATAAGAGTGGAAGGAATTTCGAGACGTCTCAAAATACAACTTTTATCGAGTGGAAGGAATGTAAGAGATTCAGGGAATGTAAGAGATTCAGGGAATGTAAGAGATTCACGGAATGTAAGAGATTCAGGGAATGTAAGAGATTCACGGAATGTAAGAGATTCAGGGAATGTAAGAGATTCAGGGAATGTAAGAGATTCACGGAATGTAAGAGATTCACGGAATGTAAGAGATTCGGGGAATGTAAGAGATTCAGGGAATGTAAGAGATTCACAGAATGTAAGAGATTCAGGGAATGTAAGAGATTCAGGGAATGTAAGAGATTCACGGAATGTAAGAGATTCAGGGAATGTAAGAGATTCACAGAATGTAAGAGATTCACGGAATGTAAGAGATTCAGGGAATGTAAGAGATTCAGGGAATGTAAGAGATTCAGGGAATGTAAGAGATTCACGGAATGTAAGAGATTCAGGGAATGCAAGAGATTCACGGAATGTAAGAGATTCAGGGAATGTAAGAGATTCAGGGAATGTAAGAGATTCACGGAATGTAAGAGATTCACGGAATGTAGGAGATTCAGGGAATGTAAGAGATTCACGGAATGTAAGAGATTCAGGGAATGCAAGAGATTCACGGAATGTAAGAGATTCACGGAATGTAAGAGATTCACGGAATGTAAGAGATTCAGGGAATGTAAGAGATTCACGGAATGTAAGAGATTCAGGGAATGTAAGAGATTCACGGAATGTAAGAGATTCGGGGAATGTAAGAGATTCAGGGAATGTAAGAGATTCACGGAATGTAAGAGATTCAGGGAATGTAGGAGATTCAGGGAATTTAAGAGATTCAGGGAATGTAAGAGATTCACGGAATGTAAGAGATTCACGGAATGTAAGAGATTCAGGGAATGTAAGAGATTCACGGAATGTAAGAGATTCAGGGAATGTAAGAGATTCAAGGAATTTAAGAGATTCAAGGAATTTAAGAGATTCAAGGAAAACAAAGGAGAGAAAAGAGACGAAAGGGAGCGAGAGAGAAAGAGAGTTATTGGAGAAAGGGGGTGAAGAAGGTAGGCATGAAATTGAGACAGAGCAGATGGGAGACGTGAAAGAAAGAGTGGGTGGGAGGATGGGCGATGAGGGGACAAGTGGAGGGCAGAAGGATGGGCAGAGAGAGGCATGGGGGAAAGAGGTTGAGGAGGAAAGGAGAAGGTGAGGAAATGACAGGCTGTCCAAAACCCACCATTGTTGATAGCAGCAGCAGTGGCATCTACTGCTGACGTGGCCCCAGCTGATTGGCCGTTGGTGAGCAGCTTGGCACAGCCAAAGTCAGAGATGCGCACGTGGCCCGATGCTGTGAGGAGAATGTTCTCCGGCTGTGTTGATGTGTGTGGGATCAGAAGAAGTGGGGATAGGAAAGAGAGGGAGGGGGATGGGAAGTGGGGACAGGAAAGAGAGGGAGGGGGATGGGAAGTGGGGACAGGAAAGAGAGGGAGGGGGATGGGAAGTGGGGACAGGAAAGAGAGGGAGGGGGATGGGAAGTGGGGACAGGAAAGAGAGGGAGGGGGATGGGAAGTCGGGAGGAGGGAACTGATCCAAAGTCGGAGATGCGCACATGACCCGCTGCAGTGAGTAGGATGTTCTCCGGCTGTGTTGGGGTAGGGGAGGATGGAAGAATGAGGGGGAAGGGGGGAGGGACGAGTGAGTAAAGGCAGAAGAGCGTGCAGGAAGGGTGGGGGGGGAGAAAGGGAGGTGAGGGAGGGTAGTCAGGCGAAGCCGGAGAATTGCACGTGACCGGCTGCTGTGAGGAGAATGTTCTCTGGCTGCATTGGTTAAGGGGGAGAAAGGGAGGTGAGGGGGTAAGGAAGCGAGACAGGGAGGGAATGGTTGATTTTGAGAATTCTCAAAATCAACCTCAAACGGAAGCGAGACAGGGAGGGAAGGGACGCAGCCAAAGACGGAGATGCGCGCGTGACCCGCTGCTGTGATGAGAATGTTCTCCGGCTGAGTGGGGGAGGAAGGAAGCAGAGCAGGGATTGCAGGGAAAACTGGGGGAGGGATGTGAGGAAGGGTAGGCAGCGAAAGTCGGAGATGTGCACGCGGCCCGATGCAGTGAGTAGGATGTTCTCCGGCTGTGTTGGGGTAGGGGAGGATGGAAGAATGAGGGGGAAGAGGGAGGGACGAGTGAGTGAAGGCAGAAGAGCGTGCAGGAAGGGTGGGGGGGGAGAAAGGGAGGCGAGGGAGGTAGTCAGGCGAAGCCGGAGATTCGCACATGGCCCCTGCAGTGAGGAGAATGTTCTCCGGCTGTGTTGGTTGAGGGGGAGAGGGAAGAGAATGGGTAGGGAAGGGGAGTGGGGAGAATGGGAAGGAGGGAGGTAAGGGAAGGGAGAAACGGAGGGAAGGGACGCAACCAAAGTCAGAGATGTGCACTTGGCATGATGCCATGAGGAGGATGTTCTGTGGCTGTGTGGGGTGTGGGGGGAGATGAAGGGGGGTTTGAGACAATGTTGAGAGTTGGAAGGACCCCTGAGTCAACTCAGAAGGTACAGCCAAAGTCGGAGATTCGCACTTGGCGTGATGCAGCGAGAAGAATGTTCTCCGGCTGTGTTGGGTGAGGGAGTACGCGGCGGAGGGGGAGGGGAAGGGAAGAGAGAGGGGAAGGGAGAGGGGGGAGGGGAAGGGAGAGGGGGAGGGGAAGGGAGAGGGGGGAGGGGAAGGGAAAGGAGAGGGGAAGGGAGAGGGGGGAGGGGAAGGGAGAGGGGGGAGGGGAAGGGAGAGGGGGGAGGGGAAGGGAGAGGGGGCAGGGGAAGGGAGAGGGGGAGGGGAAGGGAGAGGGGGGAGGGGAAGGGAAGGGAGAGGGGAAGTGAAGGGAGGGGAAGGGAGAGGGGGAGGGAAGATCGCACGTGGGGCGATTCTGCGAGGAGAATGCTCTCTGGCTAGTGGTTGAGGTGAGGGAGGGGGAGGGGAGGGAAGGGGAGGGGAAGGGCGGGGGAGGGTGATGGAAGGAAGGGGAAGGAGGAGGGAAGGTATGGGTGGGAGGGGGAAGGAGAGGGAGGGCAACGGGAGGGAGGGGGAGTGCTCACCTTAAGGTCTCGGTGCACCACTCCTTGCGAGTGCATGTACTCCAGAGCACACACATCCATTCGACTCATACTCGCTATAAGCTTGACCAGTGCTCACCTTAAGGTCTCGGTGCACCACTCCTTGCGAGTGCATGTACTCCAGTGCACACACATCCATTCAACTCGTACTCGTTATAAGAATTACCAGTGCTTACCTTTAGGTCTCGGTGAACCACTCCTTGCGAGTGCATGTACTCCAGTGCACACACCACCTCTGCTGCATAGAACCGAGCCTCGTCCTCCGATAGTTTGCCTTTCTGCACGTGCAAGAGGAGAGGAGTACAGAGGAGTGTTTAGAGGGACACAATAGAGTAAAGAGGAGTACAGAGGATGCTTGTACTCCAGTGCACAGCACACACCACCTCTGCTGCATGGAACCGCGCTTCGTCCTCTGATAGCTTGCCCTTCTGCATATGCAAAAGGAGTACAGCGGAGTACAGAGGGGTAGAGTAGAGAGGAGTGCATGTACTCTAGAGCACAAACCACCTCTGCTGCATAGAACCGAGCCTAATCCTCCCATAGCTTGCCTTTCTGCACGTGGAAGACAGTGGAGTACAGAGGAGTACAGAGGAGTACAGATGTACTTGAGTGCATACACCAGTGCCTCCTTGCGAGTGCATATCATCCTCCAGTGCACACACCACCTCTGCTGGATAGAACCGATCTTCCTCCTCTGATAGCTTGTCCTTCTGTATGTGGAGAAGAGAAGATAAGAAATGAGGAATAAAGAGGGTTGAAGAGGAGTAACGTGGGATGAAGAGGGGCAAAGATAAGCTAAGGGCGGAAAATTTGAGGTATCAAGTGGGCACAAGCAACCACTGCCGTTGCATAGAACCGAGCTTCCTCCTCTGATAGCTTGCCCTTCGTGGAGAAAAGGGAAAGGAGCAAAGAGGAGCAAAGAGGAGCAAAGAGGAGCAAAGAGGAGCAAAGAGAAGCAAAGAGGAGTAAAGAGGAGTAAAGAGGAGTGAAGAGGAGTAAAGAGGGGTAACGAGGAGTAAAGACGAGAGACGGGGAGTCAAGAGAGATAAAACAGGAGTACAGAGGAGTAAAGGGAAGAAATGGGAGGTAAAGAGGAGTTCCGAGAGGATTGAAGGATGCTCAGTTGAAGTGAAAAAGGTGTGAACTAAGCGGGCACAGACACCCTGTATCCCCAGACGGACGCCCAATGTTGAACATGGGCAACGAGGCGAGAAACAAACCAAGCTTTTGTGAGTTCAGATTAGACATGGGCAACGAGGCGAGAGACAAAACCAAGCTTTTGTGAGTTCAGATTAGACATGGGCAACGAGGCGAGTTATTTGGCTCGCCTAGTTCGCAGCAGTCATTGGGGACGAGTTATGATCATTTATTTATCTTGGCTGAAAACACTCGCGGGCCGAGCCGAGTTTTGTGGAGTAAATTTAAGATCAGGACAGCAACGGTATAAGCTGGGGTAAAAGGTGAAGGGAGAGAAGCTGGACTGAAGGCCATACCAGTCTGATTTGGTCGAAGAGCTCTCCCCCGTGACAGCACTCCAGTCCCATGTCTGTGGTGGGACAGAGGGGTAGAGGGAGGGGAGGAGAGGAATGGAGGTGGGATAGGTGAGGCAAGGACGAATGGTCTGATCTGGCCGAAGAGCTCTCCCCCGTGGCAGCACTCCAACCCCATGTCTGTGCATAGAGAAATAGAGGGATGGGAGGAATGGAGGGGAGTATGGAGGAGAGTTAGGGGAAGAAAGGATGAACGGTCCGATCTGGTGAAAGAGCTCTCCCCCGTGACAGTACTCCAACCCCATGACTGTGGCATAAGAGGGGAGGAGCACCGGGGAGGTCGAAACGTTTGATTGACACCTCCCCGCTGATTCGGTTTATTGATTCGGTTGATTCGGTTGAAGAGCAACCTTCCTCATGGCATCACCCAAATCCCATGTGGCGGGCTGGTCTTGGAAAGTGAAGAGCTGGGATCACAGAGGAAATGCTGATCTTAAAGCCCAACAATCCATGTCTCACAGGGGGGGTGCTCATCTTGGAAGGTGAAGAGCAGGCGCACGACCCCCGGGTTCCTGACAGCAAGAATCTTAGCCTAAAGCCCGACGGCAGATCATACACAGGTAGATACCATCGTCATTTGGCCCGTTAACCATAGCCGTGGCTCACAGAGGGAGTGTTGGTCGGTCCTGAAACGTGAAGAGCAGGTGCACGACCCCCGGGAGCCTCAGGGAGCCAAGAAGCAGATTATATGCAGAGGAAATGTTTGGCTTAAAACCCAAGCAAGAAAGTCTGTCTGTCTGTCTGTCTGTCTGTCTCACAGAGGGAGTGTTCGTCCTGAAACGTGAAGAGCAGGCGCACGACACGGCCCCTGGGTGTCTCAGGCGGTCAAGAATGGTACCACGCGGACAGCCCTCATCCTCGTTTTAAGCAGCCTCATGTAGAGGAACTCAGCCTAAAAGCCCAAGCCGGCTAGCACGGCTGACAGAGGGAGTGTTCGTCCTGAAACGTGAAGAGCAGGCGCACGATTCCTGGGTGTCTCAGCAAGCCCAGAAGCAGGCTATATATGCAGAGGTAATGTTTGTCTTGAAGTCCAAGACAAGCAAGCAGGGCTCACAGAGGGAGTGCTCGTCCTGGAACGTGAAGAGCAGGCGCACGATTCCCGGGTGCCTCAGCTGGTCGAGAATTAAACGCTCCATTTTTATGTATGCCACCTTCCGCTCCTTCACGATGTGCCTCTTGTCCATTATTTTCAGAGCACACTCGGAGCCGGGCGGACACCCCTCGTCCTCGTTATAAGCAGCTTTGCTTGGTTTGCGGCAGGCCAGGACAACCTGGTGGGGAAAAAAAGATGGGAGAATAAAGAAAGGAGAATTCGACAAGAAAAAAAGGAGAATAAAATTATGATGGTTGACAATCCTTTAGTTGAAGGAAAACCTCACCAGCAGAAAACTCTATTCAACTGTTGAATTTCTGGCCGAATAACCTACTCACCTCAACAATTTCCCTTCTGAAGTCTTCTAGCTCTTCCATGTAAGAGGGGGGCGAGATGGGGGCACGGGAATTACTAAAAAACCTTACAAATGGATCTCAGATCTCACGAAGGGGTCTGACTCTCACCAATGGTTCTCACTACGTTGAGACGACAGGGTCTTACATGCAGGAGGGACTGGGCTGACAACGAGAATAAGAGGGGCTTACAACGAGAACAAGAGGAGCTTACAACGAGAACAAGAGGAGCTTACAACGAGAACAAGAGGAGCTTACAACGAGAACAAGAGGAGCTTACAACGGGAATAAGAGGAGCTCATGACGAGGATAAGAGGGGCTCAAAACGAGGACGACAGGAACTTACCTTGGAGTAAGAACCAAGGCCCAGGAGCCGCCCGTATGTGAAGTCTCGAGCTGAGAGAGCCAATCGTGGTGCGCCACCTGTCACTGCCACTCCATTCGTTCCTCCAATTGCTGCTGCTCCCCCACTCTCTGCTTGTCCTCCGTTTCTTGCCCCTGAGCCACGTGTCACTGCTTCATTGGCTCCTTCATTTCCTGCCAGAATCGCAGTTACCGACCCATTTCCCACTGCTCTCGAATCCTCAGCTGCTGCTGCTGCTGCTGCTGCTGCCGCCACCGCCGCTGCAGCTGCTGCTCCGTCTCCCCCCTGTGTTCCACCATTGGCGCCTATTGCGGCGCCATTGCTCGCTCTATGCCTGCTTAGGTCATTAAATGTAGCGATGATTCCGGTAGTGCCTCCGGTCGCTCCAGCGGCGGCCATAGGACCGTCAAATGAGCGAGCCTTGATGAGCGATTTGAACAAACCTGGAGGAGTGTTCTTTTTTAGTGAATCTTGGCTAGTGACCCGTTCAAGGACCTACTGTTCGTCTCAACCAACTTGCGTCTAGAGTAGACTCAGAACGTTTCAGTTACTCTTGGAGTCTGTTAGTGTCAACCCACAGCGCTGCTGCCAAATAACGCGGCGCGGAGTATCGCCTTGTTCTCAAGGTTAAGACACTGCTAAAGCAGCTGAATGAGTCATTACGATGCTAAATTGCTAGGGATTCGATTGTAAGGCTAGCGTGAGGAGGTATGACTAACGGCCCAAGGACCAATGGCTCGTTTCGGCAAACCAGGTGCCGTGTACGCCCGATGACGTTCACGAAGCGACGGGTAGAATAAACGGCCTGGCGTATCTGCAAAGCGCGTGTGCTATTGGTAGGAGCGGCATCAATGCCGACGTTTTCCTGACGGACATCATTTAGAAATCGTTAGGACTATCCGGCAACCGTTAACCCTAACAGCGTGGGTGAGCGTGACAACGCCAAGGAGAAATGCGTTGCGATTCTAAACCGACGGATTCCGTTCGGACTACTGCCGCCTAGGACTCGCTCGCGTCGCGACCGGCTGAACTGGAGAGACCGTTGCGGTTCGACTCACTGAACTGGGCTTCACGAGGCTGCAGTTTAGAATGTTGCTCAACCTGCCTCGCACAATCTCGACCGTTGAGTAAATTCGAATTGTACACAAGCCCATCTGATGGTGCGGAAAAGTTCTGACATCAGCAGATGAAAGGCGCTCCTGAGCTCAGATAGAGGTCCTCGTTATTAGATACACAACGTTATGTCGTTTTCAGAACACTTCATCATTCGACGATTCATAGCATTAATTTGTACATTAGTTGTGGTATAGTAGAAGCAGCCATAAATTTTACACACACAAAAAAAAAAAAAAAAAAAAAAAAAAAAAAAAAAAAAAAAAAAAAAAAAAAAAAAAATTGTGGCTTTCACAGATTCTGCCAATTATTTGTTCAAGATAGTTGCACCCCTGTTCTCTTTCAGCCTACCCGAAACCAACCTAAAGGCCAGATCTGTACCCATTCCCCTCAGAAGTCACGAATGACCTCACCCCTAAAGTTGAACTCAATTCCCCTCCAGATAAAACAGGAAAATCTTAACATTACAAGACAGAGTTTTGCCACAATAGCTCACAAACGGTTCTTACCCATCCCATGACCCCATCACTTCCACCCGCTTAGAAGCCGCCAGGTATGCTTGGTGTAGCCTCTCCCTCCCCCTCCCTCCCCTCCATCCTCCCCTCCCCCTCCCCTCTGCCTCCCCTCCCCATTCCCCTCCCTCTCTCCCCTCCTCCCCTTCAGAAGTCGCGGTTGAGCGACCTCGCTTCGGCCCATATCAAGTCCTTGATGGTCTCTTCTGGCAGCACCGGGTGCTCAAAGTCGAAGGTGAACGGCTGCATGGCACACCGGCTCCTTGGCACGTACGGGTGGTGTAGCCTCTCCCTCCCCCTTCCCTCCCCTCCTTCCTCCCCTCCCCTCCACCCTCCCATCCGCCGCCCCTACCCTCTCCTCCCCCTCCCCTCCCCCCTCCCCTCCCTCTCTCCTCCCCTTCAGAAGTCGCGGTTGAGCGACCTGGCTTCGGCCCATATCAAGTCCTTGATGGTCTCTTCAGGCAGCACCGGGTGCTCAAAGTCAAAGGTGAACGGCGCATGGCACACCGGCTCGTCGCTGATGTCGTGCAGACTTGCGAGATATGGGTGGTCTAGACTCTCCTCCACTGGAAATGAATGGGAGAAAGAGATTGGGAAGAATGGGGACAGGAAGAGAGTGAGAGCGGGCCGGATTAGTGAAGGGGAGAGAAGGGTGCATGGCACGCCGGCTCGTTGCTGATGTCGTGCAGACTCGCCAGGTACGGATGGTCTAGACTCTCCTCGACTGATTGCGGGGAGAAATGGGAACAAGGTAAAGTAGAGAGGGAATTGGATACGGAAACATCAGGACGCATGGCACACTGGCTTGTCACTTATGTCGTGCAGACTCGCCAGATACGGATGGTCTAAACTCTCCACCACTGACAGTGCATAAATTAAAAGGACAACAACGGGGGATGAGAAGAGTGAAGATAAGATAGAAACGGCCTAAACTGCCCCATGAATGGGACGATTTCCATACGGCCATGTTCGAGTCCTTTTTGAGAATTCTCAAGAATGGCCTAAACTGACAAACGCATGGGCCGATTCCCATACGGCCATCCACACTCCTGTGATGCGCTCGGCGGAATAAAAGAACAGCATCCGCTCCATGAGGTCCAGAGGCAGGGGCGCCATGTTGGGGAGTGCAGCGAGCACATACTCATACCCCCATTCCCATTCCCATGCCCACGCCACGCACACACCATGGCGACCCATAGACTCACCTGTGATGCGCTTAGCGGTGGAGCCATCTTGGGGAGTGGAGCAATCAGCACACCCACCCACTCACACACACTCTCACACTCAATCCTCCCATTTTCATTCCCACGTTCTTACTCACCTGTGATGGGCTTGGCTGGGTCAAACAGCAGCATCCGCTACATGAGATTCAGAGCGAGGGGTGCCATGTTGGGGAAGCGCGCGGTGAGGGGCTGCTTGCGTACAAAGGGCAGCGAGCGCACACTTGCACTCACACTCATATACTCCCGTGCGCCTTACCACTCCCATGCGCATTACCACTCCCATGCGCATTACCACTCCCATGCGCATTACCACTCCCATGCGCATTACCACTCCCATGCGCATTACCACTCCCATGCGCATTACCACTCCCATGCGCATTACCACTCCCATGCGCATTACCACTCCCATGTGCATTACCACTCCCATGCGCATTACCACTCCCATGCGCATTACCACTCCCATACAGCACTCTCTGACTCACCTGTGATGCGCTTGGCGGGGTCGAAGAGCAGCATCCGCTCCATTGGATCCAACGCCAGGGGTGCCAAGTTAGGGAATGCAATCAGCAGCCCCATACACCCACCCATCCGTTCACCCTCCCACCCACCTGCCCACCTGCCCACAGTGACCCACCTGTGATGCGCTTGGCGGGATCTAACAGCAGCATCCTCTCCATGAGGTCCAACGCCAGTTGCGCCATGTTGGGGAAACGGGATGCGAGGGGCTGCTTGCGTACGAATGGGGGGGAGCACACACATGCCCTTACAGCCACATCCCCATACAGCGCGTCTTGTCGCCACTCACCTGTGATAAGCTTGGCAGGGTCGAACAGCAGCATCCGCTCCATAAGGTCCAGGGCAAGGAGAGCCATGTTGGGGAGTGCAGCAATCAGCAGCACATACATCCACCCACCCACCACCCTATCCACCAGCCCACTCTGCCATACCTGTGATGCGCTTGGCAGGATCAAAGAGCAGCATCCGCTCCATGAGGTCCAAAGCGAGGGGTGCCATGTTGGGGAAGCGAGCGGCGAGGGGCTGCTTGCGTACAAAGGGCAGCGAGCGCACATAGCGGCGCGCATTGTCACTCTCGAGAAACGAGATGTCTGAATCGTCTGGAGACCCAATGGTCTGGAGAGAGGGAGAGGGGGATAGAGAAAGATATGGGCAAGATTAGGAAGGGTGTGATGACGGGCAGCGAGCGCAAGTAGCGGCGCGCATTGTCACTCTCGAGAAACGAGATGTCTGAATCATCAGGAGACCCGATAATCTGCAAGGGGAGGAAAAAAAGGGACCGGAGGGCAGGGATGTGGTGAAGGGGAGCGAGCGCACGTAGCGGTGCGCGTTGTCACTCTCGAGGAACGAGACGTATGAATCGTCAGGGGACTCAATGATCTGGCAGGGACGCGAAGGGAGGGTGTGAGGAGGGGTGTGGGGAAAGCAGGGAATGCACGTAGTAAGTGGCTGGGGTTGCTTGCTTCTTGCTGCTTGCGCATGAAAGGGAGCGAGTGAACAAAGCGACGAGCATTGTCACTCTCGAGGAAGGAGATGTCTGAATCATCACATCAGGGGACCCGATGATCTGCAGGGGGAGGAAAAAAGGGGATGGGAGGGCAGGGATGTGGTGAAGGGGAGGGAGTGCACGTAGCGACGCGCATTGTCACTCTCGAGGAACGAGATGTCTGAATCGTCCGGAGACCCTATGGTCTGAAGGATGGGTGGGTGATGGGGGGGGGGGGGGGGGGGGCGAAGGTGGGGGAAGGCGGGGAGGGAGTGGGGGGGAACGGGCATGATCACAAAAGATTTGTGTCGGAGTTACCCTTTTCCGCTTCTCCTCGGTCCCTTACCCCCTTGTGTCTTCTCTGTCTTCTGTCCTCACCCGCCTGTCTTCCTTCTAGCCCTGACTTCCCACACCTTGTACAGTCTGTGCTTCCTCAGCCACTTCCCGCCGAGAGTTCCGGGCTCCCACAGGATGGCTACCAGGAGTGGCTTAGTCACCTAGCTGCAATAGCTTGAGTATGGTAACCGAAATCCACTATGATAAGTAAACAAGTCGAGAGAACAAGATTGCTTTGCTAGGCTAGGCTACTTGTGCCTGGCTACCCAGTCGCACAATTCTCTGCGTGATGGGTTGAGCCCGAGCCGCCTGGGCCTTGGATTGGCCCTCGCCAGATTTCCTGTCTCCCAATGTCCCTGGAATTGCACCCGCAGCGCCCTGCAACCCCCAATGCTACCAACCCTTCGCTTCTCCAATACCCAACTACCTCCCTTATAGGTTGAATATCAATTGCTACAGCACTTCTACACCTCAATTAGCGTATGTCCAGAATATGATGCACTTACCATTAGATTCGGTGACATTTGGCGAAGGGCCAGGATTGCACAAGGCAACGATCAAACGGAAGTTGCGGGCAGAAAAAAACATGTAGCGACGGGTGTGTTGTCGCTCTTAAGGGACGTGGTGTCGCAGCTGGTACACATGGTCCCTTCAAACCTTTGCCAACGCACACTCCTTGCCAAGGAGCAGAGGCCGCCACCCGGAAGACTTACAGATGTGATAAGGCGAAGCTGGTCCACATAGTCCTTGCTAGGGAAGAGAAGAGAGGGAGGGGTGGAGGGCCTTCCAGGAGAGGCAAGAGAGTGCGCTACTGTGGCGTCTTCACAGTTGGATCATGCACACTAAGAGCACTCACAGAGGTGATGAGGCGAAGCTGGTCCACATAGTCCTTGCCGGGGAACAGCAGCTCGCGATTGAGTATGGAGGGGAGGGGATGTATGAGAGGCTGCACCGACCTGTTTTGAGTCCACTTACTGAGGAGATGAGGCGCAGCTGGTCCACATATTCCTTGCCAGGAAAGACAGGGTGCTTTACAGTTCTCTCACAGAATGCCTCCACACCTTGTGGCCCCTAGCCTACACCACTCACTGAGGAGATGAGGTGCAGCTGGTTCACATATTCCTTGCCAGGAAAGACAGGGTGCTTTACAGTTCTCTCACAGAATGCCTCCACACCTTGTGGCCCCTAGCCTATACCACTCACTGAGGAGATGAGGCGCAGCTGGTCCACATATTCCTTGCCGGGGAAGAGAGGCTCGCGATTCAGCATGGTAGGGGAGGGGAGGGGATGCAAGAGGTTGGCCCAGCCCCACGTGTTCTGAGTCCATTCTGACCCTTACCGAGGTAATGAGGCGCAGCTGGTCCACATAGTCCTTGCCAGGGAAGAGGGCCTCGCGATTCAGCAGCTCCATGAAGATGCATCCCACGGACCACAGGTCGATGGCTGCTGTGTATGCCTGTAGTAGAAGGGGAAGGAGGAGTTGAATGCGGTTGAGAGCGGTTCTAAGTAACTGGTACCAGTTACCAACAGCCGATTCAGCAGCTCCACGAAGATGCACCCCACGGACCACAGCTCGATGGCTGCTGTGTTGGTGGGGGGTGGTGGGGGGGAAGGGGTTTGGAATGGTTCATGAATGATGCACAGGGGTTGAGAGTGGTTCAAAGGTGGTTAAGGCTACCAACAAGTGCTTCAGCACCCATGTGACACCGTTTCTGAACAACCTACATCCTTACAGAAGAGCTAGCTCATAGACATGTGATTACGGACCCAGTGTGCACATGCGGTGGAGCCCCAGGTTGGAGCCATATCTTTACGTGGCAGCGACTTTGTTTTGGTTAAGTAGAAAAGTTGTTGGTTTAGTTAAACAAACCGACGTCCTTACAGAAGAGCTCACATAGACATGTGATTACGGACCCAGTGTGCAAATGCAATAAAAAAAAAGAGGAAAGGGCACCTAGAAGGCATGTGCTAGAAGGCATGTGCTAGAGGGCATGTGCTAGAGGGCATGTGCTAGAGGGCATGTGCTAGAGGGCATGTGCTAGAGGGCATGTGCTAGAGGGCATGTGCTAGTGGGCATGTGCTAGAGGGCATGTGCTAGAAGGCATGTGCTAGAGGGCATGTGCTAGAGGGCATGTGCTAGAGGGCATGTGCTAGAGGGCATGTGCTAGAGGGCATGTGCTAGAGGGCATGTGCTAGAGGGCATGTGCTAGAGGGCATGTGCTAGTGGGCATGTGCTAGAGGGCATGTGCTAGAAGGCATGTGCTAGAGGGCATGTGCTAGAGGGCATGTGCTAGAGGGCATGTGCTAGAGGGCATGTGCTAGAGGGCATGTGCTAGAGGGCATGTGCTAGAGGGCATGTGCTAGAGGGCATGTGCTAGAGGGCATGTGCTAGAGGGCATGTGCTAGAGGGCATGTGCTAGAGGGCATGTGCTAGAGGGCATGTGCTAGAGGGCATGTGCTAGAGGGCATGTGCTAGAGGGCATGTGCTAGAGGGCATGTGCTAGAGGGCATGTGCTAGAGGGCATGTGCTAGAGGGCATGTGCTAGAGGGCATGTGCTAGAGGGCATGTGCTAGAGGGCATGTGCTAGCGGGCATGTGCTAGAGGGCATGTGCTAGAGGGCATGTGCTAGAGGGCATGTGCTAGAGGGCATGTGCTAGAGGGCATGTGCTAGAGGGCATGTGCTAGAAGGCATGTGCTAGAGGGCATGTGCTAGAGGGCATGTGCTAGAGGGCATGTGCTAGAGGGCATGTGCTAGAGGGCATGTGCTAGAGGGCATGTGCTAGTGGGCATGTGCTAGAGGGCATGTGCTAGAAGGCATGTGCTAGAGGGCATGTGCTAGAGGGCATGTGCTAGAGGGCATGTGCTAGAGGGCATGTGCTAGAGGGCATGTGCTAGAGGGCATGTGCTAGAGGGCATGTGCTAGAGGGCATGTGCTAGAGGGCATGTGCTAGAGGGCATGTGCTAGAGGGCATGTGCTAGAGGGCATGTGCTAGAGGGCATGTGCTAGCGGGCATGTGCTAGAGGGCATGTGCTAGAGGGCATGTGCTAGAGGGCATGTGCTAGAGGGCATGTGCTAGAGGGCATGTGCTAGAGGGCATGTGCTAGAAGGCATGTGCTAGAGGGCATGTGCTAGAGGGCATGTGCTAGAGGGCATGTGCTAGAGGGCATGTACTAGAGGGCATGTGCTAGAGGGCATGTGCTAGAGGGCATGTGCTAGTGGGCATGTGCTAGAGGGCATGTGCTAGAAGGCATGTGCTAGAGGGCATGTGCTAGAGGGCATGTGCTAGAGGGCATGTGCTAGAGGGCATGTGCTAGAGGGCATGTGCTAGAGGGCATGTGCTAGAGGGCATGTGCTAGAGGGCATGTGCTAGAGGGCATGTGCTAGAGGGCATGTGCTAGAGGGCATGTGCTAGAGGGCATGTGCTAGAGGGCATGTGCTAGAGGGCATGTGCTAGAGGGCATGTGCTAGAGGGCATGTGCTAGAGGGCATGTGCTAGAGGGCATGTGCTAGAGGGCATGTGCTAGAGGGCATGTGCTAGAGGGCATGTGCTAGAGGGCATGTGCTAGAGGGCATGTGCTAGAGGGCATGTGCTAGAGGGCATGTGCTAGAGGGCATGTGCTAGAGGGCATGTGCTAGAGGGCATGTGCTAGAGGGCATGTGCTAGAGGGCATGTGCTAGAGGGCATGTGCTAGAGGGCATGTGCTAGAGGGCATGTGCTAGAGGGCATGTGCTAGAGGGCATGTGCTAGAGGGCATGTGCTAGAGGGCATGTGCTAGAGGGCATGTGCTAGAGGGCATGTGCTAGAGGGCATGTGCTAGAGGGCATGTGCTAGAGGGCATGTGCTAGAGGGCATGTGCTAGAGGGCATGTGCTAGAGGGCATGTGCTAGAGGGCATGTGCTAGAGGGCATGTGCTAGAGGGCATGTGCTAGAGGGCATGTGCTAGAGGGCATGTGCTAGAGGGCATGTGCTAGAGGGCATGTGCTAGAGGGCATGTGCTAGAGGGCATGTGCTAGAGGGCATGTGCTAGAGGGCATGTGCTAGAGGGCATGTGCTAGAGGGCATGTGCTAGAGGGCATGTGCTAGAGGGCATGTGCTAGAGGGCATGTGCTAGAGGGCATGTGCTAGAGGGCATGTGCTAGAGGGCATGTGCTAGAGGGCATGTGCTAGAGGGCATGTGCTAGAGGGCATGTGCTAGAGGGCATGTGCTAGAGGGCATGTGCTAGAGGGCATGTGCTAGAGGGCATGTGCTAGAGGGCATGTGCTAGAGGGCATGTGCTAGAGGGCATGTGCTAGAGGGCATGTGCTAGAGGGCATGTGCTAGAGGGCATGTGCTAGAGGGCATGTGCTAGAGGGCATGTGCTAGAGGGCATGTGCTAGAGGGCATGTGCTAGAGGGCATGTGCTAGAGGGCATGTGCTAGAGGGCATGTGCTAGAGGGCATGTGCTAGAGGGCATGTGCTAGAGGCATGTGCTAGAGGGCATGTGCTAGAGGGCATGTGCTAGAGGGCATGTGCTAGAGGGCATGTGCTAGAGGGCATGTGCTAGAGGGCATGTGCTAGAGGGCATGTGCTAGAGGGCATGTGCTAGTAGGGCATGTGCTAGAGGGCATGTGCTAGAGGCATGTGCTAGAGGGCATGTGCTAGAGGGCATGTGCTAGAGGGCATGTGCTAGAGGGCATGTGCTAGAGGGCATGTGCTAGAGGGCATGTGCTAGAGGGCATGTGCTAGAGGGCATGTGCTAGAGGGCATGTGCTAGAGGGCATGTGCTAGAGGGCATGTGCTAGAGGGCATGTGCTAGAGGGCATGTGCTAGAGGGCATGTGCTAGAGGGCATGTGCTAGAGGGCATGTGCTAGAGGGCATGTGCTAGAGGGCATGTGCTAGAGGGCATGTGCTAGAGGGCATGTGCTAGAGGGCATGTGCTAGAGGGCATGTGCTAGAGGGCATGTGCTAGAGGGCATGTGCTAGAGGGCATGTGCTAGGCATGTGCTAGCGGGCATGTGCTTGAGGGCATGTGCTAGAGGGCATGTGCTAGAGGGCATGTGCTAGAGGGCATGTGCTAGAGGGCATGTGCTAGAGGGCATGTGCTAGCGGGCATGTGCTAGAGGGCATGTGCTAGAGGGCATGGGGTAAGGTAAAGGGCATATCAAAGAGGGCATGGGGTAGAACACACAATGGTACAAAATGAGCCTGCAAAGCCTCACTCACCCTGCTGATGTGTTCCAGCCATGGTCACTTTTTACCCTGCTAAGTTGTTCCAGCTGTGTTTGCTCACCTTGCTGTTAAGCAGAGCAGCAGCTCTGGGGTGCGGAACCATCTGGTTACCACATACTCCGACATGTAGTCACTCACGCAGTCACTCTCCTGTCAGTGCTCAATAACCCTGCTAAGCTGTTTCAGCCATGCCCGCTCTCATCTTGCTGTTGAGCAGAGCAGGACAGCAGCTCCAGGGCGCGGAACCTATGTGGAGAAAAACGCTGGAGAAGCGTTGTGTTCTGCGTTTTAACGCTTGCATTGTGCGTTTTAACGCAGGGAAAAACGCAAAACGATTGGCCAACACTTTTTCGGTCAGACTGAAGAAAAAAATTTGCCCACGCACGAGATTGACATTCGCGCTTTCGTCGCGAAAGTCAATTTCGCGAGAATTCAACCCCTCCCAACCCAAATCGACCCCTAAAAACCTGCCCCCAAACAAATTTCCAAACCCACAATATTGTGGGAAACTATTATTGTGGGGAAAAATATTATGTGGGGGAAAAATAATGCTCAAATCTGTGCTATGTCCTCCCCATGCCCTATGTGAAGTTTTTTTGCCTGCCCGTACGTTTTTTTACCCTTCCCGGCCCTGCGTTTTTTTTACGTTTTGGGGACCCTCAAACATGCGCTCTGCGTTTTAAACGCAGCGTTTAAACGCTGGCGTTTAAAACGCAGAACGTGTTTTTCTCCACACAGCACGGAACCATACCATCTGGTCCGGTTACCACTGCCTGCCTACCAGCCAATGCTAAGCAGCCATTCCAACCATGCTCACTCACTCACCTTGCTGTTGAGCAGCAGCTCTGGGGCGCGATACCATCTGGTTACCACATACTCCGTCATGTAGTCACTCTCCTCTGCTGATCTGTAATAGTCAAGGAAGGAATTGAAGACAGATAGTTAAGTACAAACATCATCTGGTTACCACACACTCCGTCATGTAGTCACTCTCCTCTGCTGATCTGTAATAGTCAAGGAAGGAATTGAAGACAGATAGTTAAGTACAAACATCATCTGGTTACCACACACTCCGTCATGTAGTCACTCTCCTCAGCAGTTCTGGAGAAATGATTGGAGGATATGAAAGATGGACAGATGGTACAATAAGGCGTACAATGGAGGACCTTAGACTGTCTATGCAGTCCCCAAGGCCAACTTTCATCCTCCCTCCCACTATCACACACGTACCTGGCGAGCCCGAAATCGCAGATCTTGAGAAATCGCAATCGGCATTGAGCAGCAGGTTGGAGGGTTTGAGGTCGAGGCGGTGAAGCAGCAGCCAACCCCCTCTCCTCCTACCCCCTTACTCCCCCTAACCCCCTGTCACTCCCTGTCTCACCTGGGGGTGAGGAGGATGAAGCCTCCTTACCGTCCCAACCCTCTTGAACCCCTAGTCACTCCCTCTCACCTGGCGAGCCCAAAATCGCAGAACTTGAGATCGCAGTTGGCATTGAGAAGCAAGTTGGAGGGATTGAGGTTGCGGTGAAGCACCTAACCCCCCTTCCCCAACCCCCTACTCGTCCTAACCTAACCCCCTGCCACACACATACCTGACGAGCCCAAAGTCGCAAATCTTGAGATCGCAGTTGGCGTTGAGCAGAAGGTTGGTTGGAGGGCTTGAGGTCGCGATGCAGCCCCCAACCCCTCCCCCGCCCGTACCCCAATACTCCCCCTAACTCCCTGTCGCACCCTCACCTGGCAAGCCCGAAGTCACAGATCTTGAGATCGCAGTTGGCGTTGAGCAGCAGGTTGGTTGGTGGGCTTGAGGCCGCGATGAAGCACCTTACAAGCATTCCCAATAGCCCCATCCAACTCTCCCTCTCACCTCGCCAGCCCAAAGTCACAAATCTTGAGATCGCAGTTGGCGTTGAGCAGCAGGTTGGAGGGCTTGAGGTCACGGTGAAGCACCTTGGCACTGTGCACGTACTTGAGACCGCGGAGGAGTTGGTAAAGAAAGTACTGCAGGGAGTTTAGTGCGGTGGGAATGGGATGGGTGGCGGACGTAGGGTTGATGTAGGGCTGAGGCGAGGAGAGTATGCGAGGTGAGGCACCTTGGCGCTGTGCACGTACTTGAGACCGCGGAGCAGCTGGTAGAGGAAGTACTGTAAGGGGGATGGAGCACGAGAAGGTGGGGTGGGGCAGCTGGGGATGCACGGGGCGGGCAGGTGGACAGTGGAGGGTGTGAGAGGTGTAGCACCTTGGCACCTAAGTTGGTCATTTACGTTTACGTTTACGTACGTACGTGTACGGGTACGTACGTTTACGCGGCTGTTGGGTTGGAGGCCTAATGTACGGGCAGGTGGGAAAATTTCTGGGCTGCCCGAGTATGTATATATTTTGTTACAGTACTCCCTCGTAATCATGATTTCCATCATATAGTGTAAACATTCCATTACAACCTCGTAATTTCCCAAATAACAAAAGTACCATCATGCACGCGTCGTGCAGAATATCATATCATCCTCACTCCTTCGGCTCTTCCGCTTCCTGGCCATCAAGATATGCCTCATCAGGGATGTCGTCGTCATCGAGATGCCCGTAGCTGTCAGTAGGTTCCTCCTTAACTTGGATCTCAGGAAGCCCACTCACCACCAGCTTCTTAGCAAGATCCTCATTCAACTTCTTCACTGTGTGATAGTTGTGGCTCACGTACACAAGGTCGGCAAGACGTTTCGCTCCAAGGCGATTACGACGAGCTGTATGGATTGACTCCCAAACGGCCCAATTCGTCTCGCAAGGGGAGGCTGAGACGCATTGCTTGAGAACTCTCCTTGCAAGCTTGGAGAGGTGGGGCACGTCCGTGCCATTGAATTCCCACCAATGCGCCGAATCCAAAAGCCCAGCTTTGATGAGTTCATGTTCATCACGCGCTTTCTGCTCCCCAATGTCTCCCTTCCCCTTGGTGTATGTCAAGTCCTCTTTTTCGACGATGGTTGCGAGTGGCGCCATCACCCCTCCCATTTTCACGAACTCACCCTTGTAGTAATTGCGAATGAATTGCTTGAAGATCTTGGTACACTCCACGTCCGTTCCAAATATTGACTCGCATTGGTTTGGCGGGTACAGAATCCGTCCGACCACGTGAAGCGCGCAGTTGATGTCGTTGTTCCACCGATTCCGCACGATGTCGGTCACATCCTCCTTCTCCTCCTCGGTCAGCTCCTTACACGCCTCCTTCACCGCGTCCTCCAAAACAAACATTTTGTCATAGATCTTGCCCATCACCTCCTGATTGCCGTCAACATTCCGCAACAGCTTATAGACCGGACGAAGCACATCGAGCACCGTCCCAACGCGCGCCCAGAACTCTTTGTCGATAATAGTATCCCATGCGTCCTTCATTTTCGGCTTTCCCTTGACGTACTCCTCCCAATCCTCACTCAGCACCAGCTTGTCGAGAGTTTTGCGCACTGCTTGCAGGCGTTCGAGGGCGATGTAATTTGTTCCAAAACGAGTGCCCGCAGGTTTCGAGATTTGTAGCGCCTTCTCCTTCCGAAGAGCCCCCGTAATTCAGTGCTCGTTCTTCAACGTCGAAATTAGCTGCTGCGCGCGGTCGATGGTATCCTTGGCCCAATCGAGTTGGCCAATGTCCTTCATCATTAGATTGAGAGAATGCGCAGCGCAACGAATCCACTGAACTTTTGGGTAGTCGAGGGCGATGATGCTGGCAGCGTTGACATTCGCGGACGCACCGTCCATCAGCAGGCCGACTACGTTCTCCGTTCCCACCATGACCATTGCCGTCTTCAAGTGGCCAGCAATGAATTCTGCTCCCTTCTTCTCCGTGCCGCAATCCACCCCAAAAAGAAATACGGATGCAATCGCATTGACAGCTAAGAAGTTCAGCTGCGGACGTCCTTCGCTGTCGGTCCAACCGTCACACGCGATGCACACCCCGACATCCTTCCATGAATCCTTCACCTCCTTCAACGCATTGTCGGTGTTCGCCTTGCACTCCTCCAACAATCTTCCCATTATTAGCCGTCGTCCAGGAGGTGTAAATCCTGTACCAGCAGCAGCAACCTTTTTCAGCATCGTCTTGAAAGCATCGTGCTCCGCAACATTCGGTGCAATACGACACACGTGGAAAAACGTTGCGATGGCAAGTTGCGCACTCGCCGCGTCGACGGGTTTGGGGCGAGTATCCATAAGCGTACGTTGCGTCGCCTGTCTCTTGCGCGCCATGCTGCTACTTTCCGCTACGTTGGAGCCACTCGCCCCCATGCCCGCCGACTTGGTGTTCGTTGTAGACGATGGCGAGAATGCATCGGACGTTTTCTGTTGCGCTTTCTCGCGAGAATCAGAGTCCCTTCTCTTATCATCCATCGCGGAACGGATTTTCTCCTTATCCTCAGGTGTAGCTGAGGCGCATGCCGTGATTCCGCTCCCTGGAATTCCGAGAATGTGTGCCTGAGCTCGCGCCACATTCAGTTTCCACGACTTACCACATCGCTTGCATTTCTTCGCTAGCGTAGAATCAGACATTCCGCCCTCAGGAACAATGAAGCATCGCCACACGGGATGCTCGGAGGTCTGCATAGGGGTCTCCATAGTACTAGTATAATCTGTTGGAGAGTTGATTGAGTAGATAGATTGATAAGCTAGCTGTGATTGTTGGTTAAGCGTGGTGACTTTTGTTATACTTACTAGCTATAGCTGCAAAATAGTTCTTCGCCGTTGAATCGCATTGTTAGTTTCCGGTTATGACTCGCGGAAGGTGCAGGCACGCGTTTGCGCGTGTTACGGAAGGTGCAGGAAAGTCGCTCGATGTAAATTTACATTTGAATCGGCGAATTGGTTTGACTCGAAGTTGGGATTCGCCGAAACCAGTGAAGCTCGGCGGTGACGAAACTGCCGAGCGGGTGACATTTGCTTACCTTGCAAGCGAAGCAATCGCGAGCTGAGTCAAACAGTTCGCAATGTTCTATCGCGAACAGTTTGTACACATTCGCGACCACAATTCCTCCCTCCCTCTCTCGACAGACTTGGTCGACATCGTAGTTCTACCGTAGCTATCGTAGTTCTACCTCCTTAGTCGACATAGTACGTAGGGTAGTCGCCACACCATAGCAACCCTAGCTAGCAACCTTCCTGTTTCTTACATTACTACCTTGAAAAACGTCGCGCCATTTTACTAACACGCTAATAGAGCATAGGTCATCGAAAGCTTGTTTCTTTTTTAGGTTTTCGGAAACCGATTTCATAGAAAATTTTCGTCCAGAATTTTTTTTTGACCTGCCCGGCGTACGTACGCGTACGTACACGTAAACGTACATGTACGCGTACGTTACGTGTACGTGGGCTGAAATGGCGTAAATGACCAACTTAGCTTGGCACTGTGCACGTACTTGAGACACATCAGCAGCTGGTAGAGAAAGCACTGCAGGGGATGTCTTCGGAGAAAGCACTGTTGTGTCATAGGGGATGTCGTTAGGCGGAAATAGTGGCAGCAGTCTTCAGTCAGCTAGACATGAGCAAATTCCCGAACCCCTGTTCGGTTCGAGTCGAACGTGTTCGACTCGAACCGAACAGGGGTTTTTTTTTGCCCAAAAATGTTCGTGACGAACACCTAAGTGTTCGTCTCGAACATGTTCGAGTGTTCGTTGCGGTTCGTGCAAAAAAATGCACGAACACCTAGGTGTTCGCGAACACTTTGTGTTCGCGGGCGAACACCGAGGTGTTCGTGAACACAAAGTGTTCGCGGGCGAACACCGAGGTGTTCGTCGAAATCCAGCGCGTCAAAAATTGACGCGCTGGTTGGATCTAAAAGGGGAAAGGGACGATTGAGCTCATTCTTGGGCTCAATCGTCAATTTCCAATTAGGATAGCATTCCGCCCACTACCCATTTAAACTGCACCACTCCCACGGTTTAAAGTCCACATTGAGGCTAGAAACGTTAAGTATAAGGGTAGATTAGGTTAGGAAACGTTTAAAAACAGAAATCAAGAGCATTTCGTTTTAGCAAAGAGTTTAGCAAGGCGGATGGATTCAGAAATGGTTGATGTAGGGTTGGTTAGCAGCCAAGACAAGGCTATTCCTGGCCCATCCGCACTACTAGATACTGCAACTGGGACCGCAAGCCCTCTCGCACCTCTCGAGCTCATAGGGGGGCAATACCTAGGAGTCCCCACGTCACCAAAAAGCTACAGGTTTAGTGGCGGGGGGCTGGCTGCACCCTCACATCGGTATGGGAAGTCTCGTGATGAGATCGAAGAGATTTCAGAGGAGGCCGAGGAGGATGCGGAAGGGGCGGGGGGGAAGGTCAAGGGTGGTGGGGGGGGGGGGGAGCCAAAGGGATTGGCTGGAGAGTGGCGGCTGGATAAGAAGCGCCCACGCATCCAACGTAGTCCATCCGATAGCACCGACAAGGATTATGATCCGAAGAAAGATGGGGATTGCGCGGGGTTGAGGGATGACGACGAGGAGGAGGAGGAGAAGGGTGAGGAGGAGGAGGAGGAGGAGGAGGAGGAGGAGGAGGAGGAGGAGGAGGAGGAGGAGGAGGAGGAGGAGGAGGAGGAGGAGGAGGAGGAGGAGGAGGTGGAGGAGGGGGAGGGAGAGGGTAGTGGTGAGGAGGCTGAGGAGGAGGAGGAGGAGGAGGAGGAGGAGGAGGAGGAGGAGGAGGAGGAGGAGGAGGAGGAGGAGGGGGTGTCCCAGCTGGGGAAGGCTAAGAGGAAGGCCAAGGGGAAGGCCAAGGGGAAGGCCAAGGGGAAGGCCAAGGGGAAGGCCAAAGGCAAGGGGAACGGGAAGATAAAGGGCAAGGGTAAAGGCATAGAAGTTCAGGAGGAGGGGGGGGGAGAGGATGGTATGGCCGCGTCGGTAGATGAGAATGATGGGCCTTTAAAGGCCACGAAAGGGTGTAAGAAGGCCCCAGGTTGGCAGGTCCAGATGTTCGGGCCATTGGGGGCGGATGAGAAGCGCAAGTGTAAGATGTGCGATACCCGTATCAGTTGGTCGACGGGCACTACGACTCCAGGGGTGCGCCACATGGTTGCGAAGCACACGGCGCACCACGACATTTGGCAGTATAGGTCCCTAAGACCACACCTACTGACTAAGGGGGAGACTTTCCCGGAGGGTGGCTACGATGGAGTTCCCGACAGGAAGGTGGTGAATTGGCCACACGTGGCCTCGTGGCCCAAGTTGCCGGTGGTGCAGACCCCGAGCGCGAAGGGTGAGGCAGGCGGCATTGAGCGCTTTGTTACAGCGAGGCTGAGTAAGCTGAAGCTTCGTGCGGCGATCACGAAGCTTGTGGTGACCGGCGACTTGCCCTTTCGCATCGTCGAGCTGGATGCGGTGAGAAAGCGTTCACCCCCCCTCCTATTTGTTGTGCTTTGATGGATTGAGATTGCTGGCCGCACGTGCTACTTCATTGCAGTACAGCCAGCCATCATGGCATCATGAATTGATGTCCACCTTATTCGCCCCTCCTCGTGCTTGTATATATAACACCAGTTCAAGGAGCTGCTGATCCTGCTGAACGAAAAGTGTGGGGAAAAGGGCGTTATCCCATCACGCTGGACGGTGGCGCGCGACACCGTTGTCCTTGCTGACTTGGCGCTCGAGGCAGCGATTGCAGAGCTGGCCTCTACAACCTGTGCCGTGTCGTACAGCACCGACATGTGGACAGGCCCGAACGGCAAGGCCTACATGGTGCTGACAGGTCACTTCGTGTCAGTGCAGTGGGAGTTGCGCCAGGTGATTCTTGCTTTCGTCGAGATGCCTGGCAGGCATGGGGGGAAGGAAATTGCTAAGGCGGTGGAGAAGGTGGTGGTGCAGTGGAAGTTGCAGACGCGTTGCCTCGGTCTCACGACCGACAATGCGTCTGCAAACGTAGTTGCTCTTCGGCACCTGGCGGAGGAGGGTGAATTCTCGGGGTACTTCAGCGAGAAGGCGCACTACAGGTCCGTCTTGTAGCTGGATTCCAAGTTCCTAAACCTGGTCCCTTTTGCTTCTGTCCGCACCATAACACCCTTGTAACCTCGTTCGCCGGTTTGAAACCCTAAACCCCTCCGATCCAACGCAGGTGCCTGTCGCACATTGTGAACCTGGCAGTGCAGTCTGGGCTGGGTGTGGAGTCGATGACGGTGCCCCTGAAGAAGGTGCGGGAGATTACTACGTGGGTGGGCATGTCGCCCCAGCGAGGAGCCGCCTTCATTGCGCTGCAGGTTCGGCATGGAGTGCTGCCCAATGGGCCGCACAAGCTCGTTCAGGACAGTCCTACGCGGTGGGGGTCCACACACGAGATGGTTAAGCGCTTCTTGCTGCTGAGGCCCTTCATCGACATGCACTTTGCCCGCGAGCAGGTACGGCTCCATTCGTATCCGTTGCAATCTGTGTTGATTGGACGCGTAAGAGCTGTTGCTTTGAAGATTGTCAGAATCCACTACGTTCCAACCGTTCCCCAAGCCTAAGCACATGTACTCAATGTCATCCAACCCAATCTTGCGCCCTCACCTAATCAACAGGGCACCACGAAGGAAGAGAAGGAGAAGTGGCGAGGTTTGCGTGTGACCGATGTCGAGTGGGAGGCCTTGGGGGCTTTGGAGGGGTTTCTCCGTCCCTTTGCCAGAGTCTCCACGGCCGCCGAGGGGTCGACCTACCCCACTGTGTCGATGGTGCTGCCTTACTTCTACGCCCTCATCGACAGCCTGGAGAAGAAGCTGCACACAGGGACGCATGAACTAGTTCGGCCACTCATGTCTGCCGCGCTGGGGCACCTGAAGCAGTACGAGTTTGCCATCGGGGACGAGTACTGGATCGCTACCTTCTTGGATCCGTCCATGAAGGCCGAGTACTTCAGGATGACACACTGGGAGCTGATGCATCCAGGCATAGTGGCACGTGACGGTGGGCGGCTTAAGCCACGTATGAGTGCGGACAGGGTGGTGAGCTTGGTGCGCCGCCGAGTGGAGGAGTACCAAGCTCGAGCAGCACGTGAAGCTCCCACCCCACCACCAGCACCAGCAGCAGCAGTGGTGACACCGTTCGAGGACGACGACGACGAGTTTGTGTTCTCTAGGGCACAGCTGCAGAAGCGTGTTTCAGCTAGCGCAGCAGCGAGAGCGGGGGGAGGGGGGACGTCGGTGGGGGATGAGGTGGATCGGTACTTAGCGGAGCTGCCTGTCTCGGACGTGCCAGCGCTGCAGTACTGGCAGCGCGCGAGGAACATGGACACGTTGAGGCAGATGGCACGGGATTACCTCGCTATCCCCACCACCTCTGCAGCTAGCGAGCGAGCTTTCTCCATGGGGAGGAACCTCATCTCCTTGCACAGGCACAGGCTGAACACTGAGCGTGTTAGTGCGAGCATGACTCTCAGGTCATGGTACACGTCACACCCTGGGAAGAGTATTGGTGAGGAACCCGGCCGCAGCGGACAGCAGGCACCACCAGAGTTGGCGCTGGAGGGAGAGGGGCTAGATGAGGGGGATGAGGAGGAGGCTGTTGCTGTGGGGGGGGGAACTGGAGTTGAGTGAGGGAGTTGCATGGGGACTTGGTGCTGTCTGGCTTTGTTTTGCATGTCCTTGACTTGTCGTTGCCCTGAACTTTGAGCTGTTGACTTATTTATCCATATTTCACTAGACCATGTGTGCGAGACATTGCGGATCTTCGCTGCTACCTTTATTTACATTCTGATTTTGCTTGTAGAACACACGCCCTGAGTTTCTTACATGCACTGAATGTGATTATAATAGAAAGTACCCCCCATGGCAAACTGTTCGAGTTCGTGGCAAACTGTTCGAGTTCGTGCCAAACACCTTAGTGTTCGGCCATGCCTCAAAACTGTTCGACACTATACTCGAACGGGGAACACTAACATTTACAAAAACTGTTCGTGACAAACGTGTTCGGTTCGGTTCGAGTTGACCAAGTGTTCGTCAACTGTTCGAGTCAAACGTGTTCGGTTCGCTCGTTGCTCATGTCTACAGTCAGCTACTGGTTAGAGCGAATGATCTAATGCAGGTCCGTGTCCATGAGGTCATACACGATATAGACATATGTCAACAACACATTTACAGTGTACACCCAGGGCCAGAGTGTTGTACACACACCTGACAGTGGTCTTCCGTCAGCTGCTGGTTAGACCGGATGATCTGGTGCAGGTCAGTGTCCATGAGCTCGTACACGATGTAGACATCATTAAAGGTGTCGCGCGCTGGAGGGGGGATGATGTCCCTGATGGCCACCACCTGGTGTGTGGATGCATCATGCATGGGGAGGGGAAGCAGAAGGTCCGTGTCCATGAGCTCGTACACAATGTACACATAATTGATTGAATGTGTCACGTGCAGGAGAGGGGATGATGTCCCTTATGGCCACCACCTGGTGTGGTGTGGAAGCATCATGCATGGGGGGGGCAATGGGAGGAGAGAGGGAGGGAGGGAGGAAGGAAGGAAAGTGGAGTTATGGAGAGCAGAAGGTCCGTGTCCATGAGCTCGTACACGATGTACACGTCGTTGAATGTGTCGCGCGCTGGAGGAGGGATGATGTCCCTGATAGCCACCACCTGTTGTGGATGCATCGTGCACAAGGGGGCGATGGGAGGATGGAGGGAGGGAGGAAGGGCGATGGGATGAGAGAGGAACGTGTCTCCATGAGCTCATACACAATGTACACCTCGTTGAAGGTGTCTTGTGCTGGAGGAGGGATGATGATGTCCCTTATGGCCACCACCTGGTGTGGATGCATCATGCACAAGGGGGGCGATGGGAGGATGGAGGGAGGGAGGGAGGGAGGGAGGGAGGGAGGGAGGGAGGGAGGGAGGGAGGGAGGGAGGGAGGGAGGGAGGGAGGGAGCGAGGGAGGGAGCGAGGGGAGTTCAAGAAAGCAGAAAAGGTCATTCTGGTTATCAAAGGCGTTCTGAAACTTCCTTAATAGAGGGACAGGCAGGAAGGTAGGCAGCAGAGAGAGTCACGTTCCCATGGTCCACCACACACCACGCCATACGGTGCGTGTCAGTAAGACAGGGACTCACGCTCCACGTGTCAGGCAGGCTCACTCACAGGCTCATGCTTTATGGTCCATGTGGCTTGAGCTCATTCAATTTGACAATCTCACTCATGGGGCGTCAGGCAGAGACTCACGCTATGCTCCACAAAGAGACTCACTCACCACACACCACGCCATACGTGTCAGGCAGGCAGAGAGACTCACTCACGTTCTCGTGGTCCATGTGCCGAAGCACCCTGATCATCTTAGCTCATTCATACACCAAGTCACGTTCTCATGGTCCATTGATACCAGCTCACCTTGATACCCCTCAGCGTTCTCTTGGTGGTGTCAATGCGGTTGTTTGAGGCGTTGGCTATCATCTTGATAGCATGACAGAGAGGCAGAAAGAGACTCACGTTCTCGTGGTTCAGATGGGGACCAAGCAGTTGCTCATCTTAGCTCATGCATACACCACCTCATATTCTCATGGCCCACGTGTTATTCAGGAAGAGAGACTCACGTTTTTGTGGTCCATGTGTCGAAGCAGCTTGATCTCCCTCAGCGTTCTCTTGGTGTCGATCCGGTTGTCAGAGGAGTTCACAAGCGGAGACTCACGGTATCATGGTCCAAGTGTCAGGCAGAGACTCACGTTCCCCGTGTCAGTGAGTCAGGCAGAGAGACTCACGTTCTCGTGGTCCATGTGTCGCAGCAGCTTGATTTCCCTCAGCGTTCTCTTGGCGTCGATCCGGTTGTCAAAGGCATTGGCGATCTTCTTGATCGCCACCTCCTCCTGAGTCTCCGAGTTGATGGCCGAGCTGCAAACACACGGGAAGGGTGGCATGGCAAGCAATTGACGGAAAAATAAAGGGGGTCCAAAGAAAAGCCCAAAAAAAACACACACACAAATGGGGCATGAAAAGAGGAGGCTAGGGAAAATAATGAAGCACTGCAAGGTGATGAGAACCAAGGAAAGGAATGGGATGAGTCTGGTGCATGAACGGGGACGAGAACTGGCGGGAGATAAGGAAAGTCGGCCATACATCAGGCAGTACACGAACGTTCAGAACGAACCACTCAACCAATCCCAATCCCAAAAAAAAAACCTTTATTTATTGTTTTTGTGTCATCTCAGAAGGCAAAGAGCACTTACCACACAATTCCGTAGGCTCCACGCCCGATTGGCCGAATAGGCGGCACATACTTTGCAGTAACCTCGAACATATTTCCGTAAATGTCATACTGCGTGTACGCCCCGTCATACGTCGGAACTCCCACAATTTCCGGCTCTAAAGGCTCGCCAGACCCGTCATCGTCGTACCCGTCCTCCCCGGGATCGCCATCCCCGTCACGGAGGTCTTCGCTATACTCTACAGCCCCGCCGTCGTCGTCCCGCTTTCCGTCCATGTGATGGTTATATTCTTCCGTCATCCCCGTTATGTACTGACGTGCGAAAGCTACAAGAACGAGAGTTACTTCTGCTGATTAAGAGCTAAGGGTAGGAACTAAGAAAACAGCGATCAGGCAAACGGAAGGCTTTAAACTGATAAGTAACGGCTGGTTCAGAGTTTCGTTTCCTTTAAGATGCCACAAGACGTCTTGTTAATCAGGTACGCACGGTAACACGGTCGGCCGGTAGCGCGACACGGTAACTGCGAGAGCTTTAAACTGGAAAGACAGGTGAATGAAAATAGTAGAGACTACGGTTGCAGAATACTGAACCTACGACATTCTGCACTTGATATCGCGCAAGCTTGCGACTAAGGGGGGATACAGGAAAGGCGTCACCAGCTGAATTGCATCAATCAGGTCGCGCACTCGCAGAGAACGTCGCACGACACGATCGCACTACTAGTCGCACGACCTAATCACATGACCCAATCGCACTGTGGAAACTTCAGCCTGGTCGACGGACCAAAATCCCTGATCCAAGCACGGACAAGGAAGCGAGCGAACCAATGGGCTGGGAAATGCAGTCAACGAAATGCGATCAATACCGTTTTAGGAGAAACTAGAGGCGCAGTGCGACTACAGCTGCAGGAGAAACAGACTTAGGGTGTGTATCACGTGTTTGCAAAAACCAGGTCAACCAACAGTCACTTGAATGGTACAGTGCGGTGGCGAACTAGAGAAAGCGGTTAATGAGCTTTCAGATGCGGTTCTTTTACTCCTCGATGCGGCATCTGGGTATTAACCCAACTCGATGCAAGGCCTGGTGGCTGAACCGCTCAAGGGGGCGGTGCGTACCAAGGGAATGTCGTGTTTGATTCAAATGTCATTACACTGGATGGAATACGACTCGTAAACATTCAAGTACGGTATCATACGTTAACTCTCGGTGGGGTTGTCGTCAGTCTAGCAACAGCAGCCTGACGGAACAGGACCTCAGGGCCCATTTCAACTGCCTGCTTGTCTGACTGGAGTCAAAACTGATGATGACTGATGCCAGCCGAACCTGGCTCCCTTGAGGTTGTTTGGCTGAAAACCAGGGGAGCTTGGCGCTTCGGTCACTAGATTCACGAACAAGGCAATAAGTGGTACAGTAACGCTCGGAAAGCATATTCTTTGGAGTGAGGGCGGGGCGGGAACGAAATAGGGGCGGAGGCGTGTGCTCCGCCACGGAAAGGAGAATGACTGTGGGCAAAAAGTGGAGCGGGGAAATCTTGACCATAGGGATGAATCTTTTTGGATTGCAGTTATTTATCATTACCACTGGAAAATACATTATACTTGTATTGATGATAACAAACAGTATCAGGAGTCAAAATGCCAATAGGGTGAAATGCATCCACTATTCGTCATTAGGTGTGAAACAAGGCACACAATGATAATAGGCACGCATTAAGAGGGGGCTGAAGTAAAGAGTGGGGCTCTACTAGAGCTTGAGGGTGAAGTGGCAGGGGAATTGGGAGGCGAAGGCATGGCCGTCATATGAAATGGGAGTGGAGGAACCAGCATGAGCGATTTGGTGTTTGGCGCCACGTTCACCATGTGCCCCCTCCCTCCCCACATGCCTCTCCGCACATTATTTATCCGTAGCGTACGTGCCTCCTGTTTTTTTAGCCAAATGTGAGTTGGAACACGCAAGAAAATAAAAGAAAGCGAGAAACACAAAGAGCACGACAGATTAGGGAAGGACGGCGTAATCAACCAATGAGAAGGGATTTTAGCCTTGCCTCCTATTCTGTCACGCAACATACTGCATGCTTGTACTTGTTACAAGCAGCCCCAGAATCATGCGTCGGACGTACCTGGCAGAGCGCGCAGCAGGAGCAACAGGCGTGATAGATGCAATCTGTTGCCTCATCGCCCTGCATGGTTGTGTTGGGAAAATTGAGAGCGATACTTTTTGAAAAATCTCAAAACTGATAGGTGCAATCCGATAATTCATCACCCTGCGTGGTCAGTGAGGGTAGGCCATATTGCATAAGTGAGGGAGAGGGACAGTGAAAAGGAGAGAGGTCACGGAGAAGGGGGAGGGGATATAGGGTCAAGCATGTTTATGCAGAGATTACAGTGTTTAACCACATGCTCTTTCCATGGTGGAAACAAGAGGACAAGAAGTGTTCATGTTCATGCTCTTTCCATCATGCCACATGATCCAGCATCCTGCTTTTTCCATGCCTGGACACGAGGTGAGCCTTTTACTGCAGCCAGGATGTGAGATGCAAGCACATCACATCACACCGCGCCTTGCCTGCTCGCCTGCTTGCCTGCTCGCCTGCTCGCCTGCTCGCCTGCTCGCCTGCTCGCCTGCTCGCCTGCTCGCCTGCTCGCCTGCTTGCCTGCTCGCCTGCTTGCCTGCTCGCCTGCTTTCCTTCTCGCATGCTAGCCTACTCGCCAGCTTGCCTGCTAGCCTACTCGCCTGCTTGCCTGCTCGCCTGCTTGCCTGCTCGCCCACTAGCCTGCTCGCCAGCTCGCCCGCTAGCCTGCTCGCCTGCTTGCCTGCTCGCCTGCCCTGCTTACCTGCTCGCCTGCTTTCCTTCTCGCCTGCTAGCCTACTCGCCAGCTTGCCTGCTCGCCTGCTTGCCTGCTCGCCAACTTGCCTGCTTGCCAGATTTCCTGCTAGCCTACTCGCCAGCTTGCCTGCTCGCCTGCTTGCCTGCTCGCCAACTTGCCTGCTTGCCAGATTTCCTGCTTGCCTGCTCGCCAGCTTGCCTGCTTGCCAGCTCAATGACCTGAATACCAAAGCGTTGGCACGTTCAAATGCAGATGCGCTAAAACCGACCTGAATACTATGACATGGGTGAGAGGTGACTTTTGAGTCAACTCAAAAGTCACCTCGCTAAAACCGACCTGAATACTATGACATGGGTGAGAGGTGACTTTTGAGTCGACTCAAAAGTCACCTCGCTAAAACCGACCTGAATACTATGACATGGGTGAGAGGTGACTTTTGAGTCAACTCAAAAGTCACCTCGCTAAAACCGACCTGAATACTATGACATGGGTGAGAGGTGACTTTTGAGTCGACTCAAAAGTCACCTCGCTAAAACCGACCTGAATACTATGACATGGGTGAGAGGTGACTTTTGAGTCAACTCAAAAGTCACCTCGCTAAAACCGACCTGAATACTATGACATGGGTGAGAGGTGACTTTTGAGTCGACTCAAAAGTCACCTCGCTAAAACCGACCTGAATACTATGACATGGGTGAGAGGTGACTTTTGAGTCAACTCAAAAGTCACCTCGCTAAAACCGACCTGAATACTATGACATGGGTGAGAGGTGACTTTTGAGTCAACTCAAAAGTCACCTCGCTAAAACCGACCTGAATACTATGACATGGGTGAGAGGTGACTTTTGAGTCAACTCAAAAGTCACCTCGCTAAAACCGACCTGAATACTATGACATGGGTGAGAGGTGACTTTTGAGTCAACTCAAAAGTCACCTCGCTAAAACCGACCTGAATACTATGACATGGGTGAGAGGTGACTTTTGAGTCGACTCAAAAGTCACCTCGCTAAAACCGACCTGAATACTATGACATGGGTGAGAGGTGACTTTTGAGTCAACTCAAAAGTCACCTCGCTAAAACCGACCTGAATACTATGACATGGGTGAGAGGTGACTTTTGAGTCAACTCAAAAGTCACCTCGCTAAAACCGACCTGAATACTATGACATGGGTGAGAGGTGACTTTTGAGTCAACTCAAAAGTCACCTCGCTAAAACCGACCTGAATACTACGACATGGGTGAGAGGTGACTTTTGAGTCAACTCAAAAGTCACCTCGCTAAAACCGACCTGAATACTATGACATGGGTGAGAGGTGACTTTTGAGTCAACTCAAAAGTCACCTCGCTAAAACCGACCTGAATACTATGACATGGGTGAGAGGTGACTTTTGAGTCGACTCAAAAGTCACCTCGCTAAAACCGACCTGAATACTATGACATGGGTGAGAGGTGACTTTTGAGTCGACTCAAAAGTCACCTCGCTAAAACCGACCTGAATATTATGACATGGGTGAGAGGTGACTTTTGAGTCAACTCAAAAGTCACCTCGCTAAAACCGACCTGAATACTATGACATGGGTGAGAGGTGACTTTTGAGTCAACTCAAAAGTCACCTCGCTAAAACCGACCTGAATACTACGACATGGGTGAGAGGTGACTTTTGAGTCAACTCAAAAGTCACCTCGCTAAAACCGACCTGAATACTATGACATGGGTGAGAGGTGACTTTTGAGTCAACTCAAAAGTCACCTCGCTAAAACCGACCTGAATACTATGACATGGGTGAGAGGTGACTTTTGAGTCGACTCAAAAGTCACCTCGCTAAAACCGACCTGAATACTATGACATGGGTGAGAGGTGACTTTTGAGTCAACTCAGAAGTCACCTCGCTAAAACCGACCTGAATACTATGACATGGGTGAGAGGTGACTTTTGAGTCAACTCAAAAGTCACCTCGCTAAAACCGACCTGAATACTATGACATGGGTGAGAGGTGACTTTTGAGTCAACTCAAAAGTCACCTCGCTAAAACCGACCTGAATACTATGACATGGGTGAGAGGTGACTTTTGAGTCAACTCAAAAGTCACCTCGCTAAAACCGACCTGAATACTATGACATGGGTGAGAGGTGACTTTTGAGTCAACTCAAAAGTCACCTCGCTAAAACCGACCTGAATACTATGACATGGGTGAGAGGTGACTTTTGAGTCGACTCAAAAGTCACCTCGCTAAAACCGACCTGAATACTATGACATGGGTGAGAGGTGACTTTTGAGTCGACTCAAAAGTCACCTCGCTAAAACCGACCTGAATATTATGACATGGGTGAGAGGTGACTTTTGAGTCGACTCAAAAGTCACCTCGCTAAAACCGACCTGAATACTATGACATGGGTGAGAGGTGACTTTTGAGTCAACTCAACAGTCACCTCGCTAAAACCGACCTGAATACTATGACATGGGTGAGAGGTGACTTTTGAGTCGACTCAAAAGTCACCTCGCTAAAACCGACCTGAATACTATGACATGGGTGAGAGGTGACTTTTGAGTCGACTCAAAAGTCACCTCGCTAAAACCGACCTGAATACTATGACATGGGTGAGAGGTGACTTTTGAGTCGACTCAAAAGTCACCTCGCTAAAACCGACCTGAATACTATGACATGGGTGAGAGGTGACTTTTGAGTCAACTCAAAAGTCACCTCGCTAAAACCGACCTGAATACTATGACATGGGTGAGAGGTGACTTTTGAGTCGACTCAAAAGTCACCTCGCTAAAACCGACCTGAATACTATGACATGGGTGAGAGGTGACTTTTGAGTCAACTCAAAAGTCACCTCGCTAAAACCGACCTGAATACTATGACATGGGTGAGAGGTGACTTTTGAGTCAACTCAAAAGTCACCTCGCTAAAACCGACCTGAATACTATGACATGGGTGAGAGGTGACTTTTGAGTCAACTCAAAAGTCACCTCGCTAAAACCGACCTGAATACTATGACATGGGTGAGAGGTGACTTTTGAGTCAACTCAAAAGTCACCTCGCTAAAACCGACCTGAATACTATGACATGGGTGAGAGGTGACTTTTGAGTCAACTCAAAAGTCACCTCGCTAAAACCGACCTGAATACTATGACATGGGTGAGAGGTGACTTTTGAGTCAACTCAAAAGTCACCTCGCTAAAACCGACCTGAATACTATGACATGGGTGAGAGGTGACTTTTGAGTCAACTCAAAAGTCACCTCGCTAAAACCGACCTGAATACTATGACATGGGTGAGAGGTGACTTTTGAGTCGACTCAAAAGTCACCTCGCTAAAACCGACCTGAATACTATGACATGGGTGAGAGGTGACTTTTGAGTCGACTCAAAAGTCACCTCGCTAAAACCGACCTGAATATTATGACATGGGTGAGAGGTGACTTTTGAGTCGACTCAAAAGTCACCTCGCTAAAACCGACCTGAATACTATGACATGGGTGAGAGGTGACTTTTGAGTCAACTCAACAGTCACCTCGCTAAAACCGACCTGAATACTATGACATGGGTGAGAGGTGACTTTTGAGTCGACTCAAAAGTCACCTCGCTAAAACCGACCTGAATACTATGACATGGGTGAGAGGTGACTTTTGAGTCGACTCAAAAGTCACCTCGCTAAAACCGACCTGAATACTATGACATGGGTGAGAGGTGACTTTTGAGTCGACTCAAAAGTCACCTCGCTAAAACCGACCTGAATACTATGACATGGGTGAGAGGTGACTTTTGAGTCGACTCAAAAGTCACCTCGCAAAAACCGACCTGAATACTATGACATGGGTGAGAGGTGACTTTTGAGTCGAGTCAAAAGTCACCTCGCAAAAACCGACCTGAATACTATGACATGGGTGAGAGGTGACTTTTGAGTCGACTCAAAAGTCACCTCGCTAAAACCGACCTGAATACTATGACATGGGTGAAAGGAAGGGGCACGGAAGGCTATAACTGATGGCATTGGTGAGAGGAAGGAGGAGGGGAGAAGCAAGGGAGGAGCATGGAAAGGGTAGGTTGACCCACCTGGATGTTGAAGCGTCGGCGTGTCTGTGTGCAAAAGCGCGCGAAATAAGAGGTTCCAAGGCTGTAGAGGAGGAGTTTTGAGTCGACTAAAAAAACTCGATTCACCTGGATGTTGAATCGCCGGCGTGTCTGCGTGCGGAAGCGCGCGGGGTAAGAGGTGCCTAGGCAGTAGAGAAGGATGCCGAGGGAGGAGAAGAAGTCGAGCGTGGAGCAGAGGGCTATGAGCTGCGAACAGGAGCATGCTCCCCATGTGAGAGCACAGTGGAAAAGGGCCTGGAGGAAGAGTGGGAGGTCAGGAAGAGGAAAGGAAAGGAGAGGGAGCAATCCGAGGATAAGGAGATTCAAAGAAGCGCAGAGGGCTATGAGGTGCGAACAGGAGCATGCTCCTTAGGTGAGAGCACAGTGGAAAAGGGCCTGGAGGAAGAGTGGGAGGTCAGGAAGAGGAAAGGAAAGGAGAGGGAGCAATCCGAGGATAAGGAGATTCAAAGAAGAGCAGAGGGCTATGAGGTGCGAACAGGAGCATGCTCCCCAGGTGAGAGCACAGTGGAAAAGGGCCTGGAGGAAGAGTGGGAGGTCAGGAAGTGGAAAGGAAAGGAGAGGGAGCAATCCGAGGATAAGGAGATTCAAAGAAGAGCAGAGGGCTATGAGGTGCGAACAGGAGCATGCTCCCCAGGTGAGAGCACAGTGGAAAAGGGCCTGGAGGAAGAGTGGGAGGTCAGGAAGAGGAAAGGAAAGGAGAGGGAGCAATCCGAGGATAAGGAGATTCAAAGAAGAGCAGAGGGCTATGAGGTGCGAACAGGAGCATGCTCCCCAGGTGAGAGCACAGTGGAAAAGGGCCTGGAGGAAGAGTGGGAGGTCAGGAAGAGGAAAGGAAAGGAGAGGGAGCAATCCGAGGATAAGGAGATTCAAAGAAGAGCAGAGGGCTATGAGGTGCGAACAGGAGCATGCTCCCCAGGTGAGAGCACAGTGGAAAAGGGCCTGGAGGAAGAGTGGGAGGTCAGGAAGAGGAAAGGAAAGGAGAGGGAGCAATCCGAGGATAAGGAGATTCAAAGAAGAGCAGAGGGCTATGAGGTGCGAACAGGAGCATGCTCCCCAGGTGAGAGCACAGTGGAAAAGGGCCTGGAGGAAGAGTGGGAGGTCAGGAAGAGGAAAGGAAAGGAGAGGGAGCAATCCGAGGATAAGGAGATTCAAAGAAGAGCAGAGGGCTATGAGGTGCGAACAGGAGCATGCTCCCCAGGTGAGAGCACAGTAGATGAGGGCCTGGGGGACGACAAGAGCAGAAAGTTCGGGGGACGAGAGATGCAGGGAAAGCAGGGGAAAGAGAGGAACATGCTCCCAGGTGAGAGAGCAGTAGATGAGGCCCTGGGCGAAGAGAGGAGCAGAGAGGCTGGGGGAAGAAGAGGATTACAAGGGAACACCATTAAAGCACTCCTGGCAACGGCATTACCAGGCAGACGGAGGAGAGATAGAAGGTGAGTCAATGCACACCATGCATTCTGCTAGCCATGCTTGGTTCGCCATCAATGTACGGCGCTTTGCCATCAATGTACGGCGCTTTGCCATCAATGTACGGCGCTTTGCCATACCTGTAAGGGCGATTTGCCATACCTGCAAGAGCGGTTTGACATACCTGTAAGGACGCTTTGCCATACCTGGGGGGCACAGCTGCCGAACCAATAGGGGCGCTTTGCCATAACTGGGGGGCACAGTTGCCGAACCTTTAGTGGCGCTTTGCCATACCTGAGGGGCACAGTTGCCGAACCTTTAGGGGCGCTTTGCCATACCTGAGGGGCACAGTTGCCGAACCTTTAGGGGCGCTTTGCCATACCTGAGGGGCACAGTTGCCGAAACCAGCCATTGCCATGTTCTGGCCGAATGTGATGCAGGGACAGCTGTGAGGGAGGGGTGGAATGGGGTGGTGATGGACAGAGAGAGGGAAGGGAACATGGGTGGGTGGGATTGAATCCTGCAAGTGCCACGTTCTGGCCGAATGTGCTGAGAGGCAGGGGTGGGATAGGAGGCATGAGGTGGAGAGAGTAGGGGAGAAGAAGCAAAGGAGAGACGGAGAGACGAGGAGAAGGCAAGGAGAGAAAGGATGGCATAGGTGAGAATTCGTGAGGCGCTTCACAGATTGACTCCACAGATCACGGATTACAGATCATAGATCATATATCATAGATCATAGATCATAGGTAATAGATCATAGATCATAGATCATAGATCATAGATCATAGATCATAGATCGACTCAAGGCAACCATTTCCACGCTCTGTCCACATGAGATGCATAGGCAGCTGCATGCGAGGGGTGGGATGGGAGACACGAGGAGGTGGCGAGCTAAGGGGAGAAGGAGAGAAAGAGAGGAGGGAAGAGGGGTTGGCAAGAAGGAGAGGAGTGAAGAGAAGGCAAGAAGGAGAGAACGGGTGAAGAGGAGAAGGCAAGAAGGAGAGAAGGGGTGAAGAGGAGAAGGCAAGAAGGAGAGGAGTGGCATGAAAGAGTATTTGTGAGGCGCTTCACAGATTGACTCCACAGATCACGGATTGACTACCTGTGAGAGAGAGCACTCACCAGGCCAGGTACCTCCATCAGTCTGAGTGGCGACAGAAGAGTCGTAAAGCAGTTGACTTTTGAGACGTCTCAAAAGTCACTCACCAGGCCAGGTAGGTACCTCCATCGGTCTGAGTGGCGACAGAAGAGTCGTAAATAAGTTACACAACTCCCCTTCCCATATTTGCTCCAACCAAACCCCCTCCCCCCCCCCCCACCCCCCCTTCACAAAGAGAGCACGAGAACTCACCAGACAGTTTGAGTGGGGACAAGAGAGTCGTTAAAGCTTGCACGGCTCCCCTTCCCATATATGCTCCACGCCCCTCCCCCCTCCCCTTCACAAAGAGAGCATACTGAGGGAACTCACCAGTCAGTCTGTGTTGCAATGCAATGGAGAGGGGAGCTCAACAAAGCAATCACAAAGGTGCCCTTCACACATGCGCTCCACTCACCAGACCAGAGCCTCCACCTCCCCTGTGAGAGTGAGCATTCACCATACCAGCTACCTCCAAATATCCGTGTGTGAAGAGGGGAGGTGTGTGAAGAGGGGAGGTGTGTGAAGAGGGGAGGTGTGTGAAGAGGGGAGGTGTGTGAAGAGGGGAGGTGTGTGAAGAGGGGAGTTGTGTGAAGAGGGGAGGTGTGTGAAGAGGGGAGGTGTGTGAAGAGGGGAGGTGTGTGAAGAGGGGAGGTGTGTGAAGAGGGGAGGTGTGTGAAGAGGGGAGGTGTGTGAAGAGGGGAGGTGTGTGAAGAGGGGAGGTGTGTGAAGAGGGGAGGTGTGTGAAGAGGGGAGGTGTGTGAAGAGGGGAGGTGTGTGAAGAGGGGAGGTGTGTGAAGAGGGGAGGTGTGTGAAGAGGGGAGGTGTGTGAAGAGGGGAGGTGTGTGAAGAGGGGAGGTGTGTGAAGAGGGGAGGTGTGTGAAGAGGGGAGGTGTGTGAAGAGGGGAGGTGTGTGAAGAGGGGAGGTGTGTGAAGAGTCGACTCAAAAATCGCCTCTTCACACACCTCCCCTGTGATAGTGAGCATTCACCATACCAGCTACCTCCAAATATTCCCTCTCTGCACGCACCAGGCAGTCTGAGTGGCGACAGAAGAGTCATCAAAGCAGTTACACAGCTCCCCTTCCCACATGCGCTCCACGCCCTTCCCCCCCCCTCCACCCCCCTGACAAAGAGGTCCCATAGAGAGCGCGAGGTCTCACCAGACGGTTTGTATTGCAACGGAAGAGTCATCAAAGCAGTCGCATAGCTCCCCATCCCACATCCGCTCCACGCCCCCCCCTCCTCCCCTTGCCTTTACAGAGAGTACACAGAGAGCACACAGAGAGCACAAAGAGGTCACACAGAGAGCACTCACCAGACAGTCTGCGTTGCAACGGACGAGTCATCAAAGCAGTCACACAGCTCTCCTTCCCACATGCGCTCCACGCCCCCTCCTCCCCCCCTCTCAAACCCCACCTCTCCACCAATCCCCGCTCCCAGCCCTCCATCAAAATCCACCGCACAGATCCCAAACCCGTAATCCAGACCGTCCAATTCTGGCCCCTCCCCCACGTCCCGCCGCATCCCTTCCTCCAGCCCCCCTGTACCCGTTATAGAGCTCCCCGCGCCTGTCCCACTCCCTTGCTCCCCCCCTACGCCCCTCACAACCACTGCTTCGTCCATTAACGGGCCTGCCCCCACCACCGTCCGCTCGACGACTCCTAACCGCTCCCTACTGCCCTCCACCACTCTCAGTCTACCGCCTGCTGGCATGCCGCTGCCCCTGTCTCGCGAAGAGGGGAAATCCTGTAACTCGTTCGCATGCTCGTCGCCCTCCCAGCTGTCCTTGCTCGCATCGCTGTGGCGAACCCACTCTGAAAACGTCACACGACGGCCGCTGCTGCTGCTGCCACCACTGCTGCTGCTGGCGCTGCTGGTGCTGGTGCTTCTGGTGCTGCTTGCTGCTGCTTCTGCTGCGGTTGATGCCGCATCTTCCGTTGCTGAAGCATCCAGAGGGAGGGAGTGCGAGCGAGCTGGGCTGGGGGTGGACTGAGAGAGAGAGGAGGGGTCCTCTTCGGGTATTGGTTGCAGCAGGTGCGTGTGAGAGTGAGTGTGCGAGTGAGGGTTGTAGTGTGGGTGAGTGTTAGGGTGCGAGGGAGGGTTAGAGTGTGAGGGAGGGTTAGAGTGTGAGGGAGGAAGGAGGGATGGAGGAGGAGTGGGTTGACTGGGTGAGAAGGCTAGAAGGTTGGATCTGCCGAGAACCTGGGCGTGGCCTGGGAGCCTCGGGATTGGCTGCTGGCGATTCTCTGCTGACGTGGATGATGATGACGATGAGGAGGAGGAGGAGGAGGAGGAGGAGGAGGAGGAGGAGGAGGAGGAGGAGGAGGAGGAGGAGGAGGAGGAGGAGGAGGAGGAGGAGGAGGAGGAGGAGGAGGAAGGGGAGGGGGACGAAGAGGAACCTTCCATGCGGCTTCTGCAAAAGGTCGCCCACCCGCTCCGATAGAAGCTTCAACTGATTAGCAGTGAGTGCTTCTCGTGCTCAAAGAATGAGCTGTAACACCCTTGTCGCATTATGGATGTTGCTCGGCGAGTTCGCGAATTGAGGCGAGGAGTTACGCGCGTGACGCGACGAACGGCTTGCGGCAGCGCGAGGCGACTGAAGCTGAATCGGCTGCGACGAACTGAAAGGAGCGACACGAATGCCCGGCGTCGGAGGGCACTCATGGGACGGGAATGCGAAACTAGCGTCCGTCCGTGCTCACAGGAAGAAGCTAAAACAGGTTGGTCTGGTCAATGAAGCTTCTGGGCGTTGGATGTGTTTTTTATTGCTATTTCAGTGGTTCAAATCGGGGACTTGGGGACTGGGTACTTCCTACCGTAGGCTGGGCTCCCTTATCTCATGAGACTGGTGTCAGACGTGGAGCGGGATACGGAAACCGCATCCCGACCTGTGAAACTCAGAGTGGTTACCAGCATCGTGCAGGAGTTTTTACTGTTCGCGTAACTGTTACCATTTGAGTGCAGTTGAACTAGAGGGGAGAATTGCACTAAAGGGGGCAAAGAATGACAACGTGAGCAAAGACATGAGCGAACAATGAATAGAAAGATATGCAAATGATAACAAGACGTTGCGAAGAAGCATAAACAAAGCTGGAAGCAAAATGAGGCATAGGTCGACTCGGCCTTGAACAAAGGTAGCGTGTGAGGTTGCGAATACCATTAAAATCGTAACGGACGAATAAAGGTCGAGTCCGTGCCTAGTGACGTACAAGGTGAAGTGTGATGCGCGGTAAAAATATGGACTTTTCCTTACGTTACCCCCCACTGTGTCTCACTTGGCTCATTAGCTCTCAAGTAGTGCCAAGTGACTCACTAGGCTCATTAGCACTTAGGTACTGCCGAGTGCCTCATTGGGCTCATTAACACTCAGGTACTGCCGAGTGCCTCACTAGGCTCATCAGCGCTCAAATACTGCCAAGTGCCCTGATAGTTGGCCAATGTATGAAGCATGCCGATGGTAGCGTGTCGATGCCCTGATAGTTGGCCAATGTTCCCAGCATGCCGATAGTAGCATGTCCATGCCCTGATAGTTTGCCAATGTTCCCAGCATGCCGATAGTAGCATGTCCATGCCCTGATAGTTTGCCAATGTTCCCAGCATGCCGATAGTAGCATGTCCATGCCCTGATAGTTGGCCAATGTTCCCAGCATGCCGATAGTAGCATGTCCATGCCCTGATAGTTTGCCAATGTTCCCAGCATGCCGATGGTAGCATGTCGGTGCCTCTACAGTTTGTCAATGTCCCCAGCATGCCGATTGTAGCATGTCGACGCCCTGATAGTTGGGTAATGTTCCCAGCATGCCGATGTTAGCATGTCGATGCCCTTATAGTTGGCTAATGTTCCCAGCATGCCAATGGTAGCATGTCCATGCCCTGATATTTTGCCGATGTTCCCAGCATGCCGATGGTAGCATGTCGGTGCCGGGATAGTTGCCCAATGTTCCCAGCATGCCGATGGTAGCATGTCAATGCCCCGATAGTTGGCCAATATTCCCAGCATGCCGATGGTAGCATGTCAATGCTCTGATAGTTGGCCAATGTTCCCAGCATGCCGATGGTATGGCTTGCCAATGTTCATAGAATGCCATGGTGCTTGGTCACCTTGCTGATGGGGGGATACACTTTGTGGCATAGAAGTTCCCCTAGCGTGTAGCGTGACTCCCTGGTTGCTATCCATACATAAAATGATATGAGCCGCTGCTCACTGTCAGCATTCACAACCCTTACCTCCATTGCCAACATATCGTTGGGGCACCACGGCATGCCAATTAGCTTCCGGGTCCTCACTAATTTTGTGAGGCTAGTCCAAGACTTAACTTGGTATCGGCATTCAGCCGCATTGTAAGGGTGGCATCCAGAACTTGACATGGCAGAACGAGGCTTGATAATGCCAGTTGAACAAGGGTATTTGTTGACATGGCATTAGTGTCAGAATACTGAACGAGAATGAATGAACTATGAAAGAGTTGGGTACAAGTACTAACCCTAATTGGGTTGTACTCCTTATGAGCTACCCCACTATAGCCTACAGAAAGTAAGCTATATAACATTTTGACACACCCCCATAGGCAAAGTGGGGGAGAACAAGTGGTCACAAGACCAGTCAAGAAAAGCAAAGCAAGCTCAGGGTGGATCTGAAAGTCACCACACATTCCGAGCACAATCAAAGGGCCACAAGGCCAGTTCACATGCAGAGTTATATAAAAGAGAACAAACAGTACAGTGATCTTACCCTAGCAAGTGTAAGCATGCAGGTATATATATAGATCACAGTATAGGCAAAGTCACGTAGGAAGCAAGTGAGGCAAAGTAGGCACAAGGCCTAAAACAGTACAGAAACGCTGATGATGACCAGACTGAAGTGCCTTGGTGAATATAATCCGTAGTGTTGGCCCTAGTGGCCACGTAAGCAAGACGAAGCTGACCACGCTGCTGCAAATCTCGAGCAAGGAAGTAACGCAGAGCGATGTGCTTCGTTCTGTGCTCCAGTCTGTGCTCCTCAGACAAGGCAAACATGGCCTTGTTGTCTATGTACAGAACTGGAGAAGAACGAGGCCGCTCTACCAAGTCGGTCAGCAGGTAGGTGAGCCAGCGTAACTCCTGTGCAGCCATGGCCCCAGCGTAGATCTCAGCCTCACAACTGGAGCTGAGAACAGAAGACGAGCGGGTAGATCGCCAAGAGACAGAGCTGGAGCCAAGGCTGAAAGTGTAACCCTGTGACGATCGCTGCATAGCCAAGTCGTCAACCCAAGACGCGTCTGCGTGTCCAGTGAGGACAGCTGGCCCTCGTCCTCCAAGCACGAGCCCCATGCCCGACGTACTGCACAAGTAGCGCAACACCCTCTTAGCTGCATCCATGTGCTCCTTCCTGTGTCTGCTAGGAACGACATAGCATGCTAGAATACTAAGTGGGTAGGCAAGGTCAGGTCGAGTGCAGGTCATCAGGTACATGAGGCAGTCCACAAGCTCTGGATACGGGCCACTCGGCTCTACGGACACGTCCGAAGGTGGAGCTGAAAGCGAGTGACCGGTAGGCAGAGGAGTGGACTGTGGTGAGGAGTACCGGAAGCTGAAGCGCTGAAGGACTTGGTGCACCATGTGTGACTGAGTTAGGGTGATGGTGCGCCGTGCTCTGTCTCGGGTGATCTGCAAGCCAAGATAGCTGCGCAGTTCACCCAGGTCAGTGCAAGTGTGTCTCTACTGCAGCTCCGACTTCATAAGGGCCAGTGCCTCAGTGTCAGCAGTGGCAAAGACCAAGTCGTCGACGTACACGAAGACGTAGAACGGCGGCAGCGAAGTGTCGGTGCGTAGAAACAGCGACGGGTCAGCAGTAGAGAGAGCAAACCCAAGAGCCGCAAGTGTAGTCCTCAGTGTGTCATGCCACTCGCAAGGTGCCTGGCGGAGACCGTAGACTGGCCGCCAGAGACTCCACTGGGTACCTGCAGGAAACAACCCAGTGAAGCCAGGTGGGTGGCGCAGCCAGATCTCCTCGTGCAGGCTGCCCTGTAAGAAAGCTGTGCTAAAGTCCAGAGAGTGAAGCTCGTAGTCACGCTGAGCGGCGACGTGCAGCAGTACCCAAAGATTAGTCATCTTCAGGGTAGGGGAGAAGGTCTGGAAGAAGTCAACTCCCTGTCGGTGACTGAAGCCTCGTGCAACGTAACGAGCCTTGAAGGCAGGCGGAGAACCCGGCGGCCGCTTCACCCTAAAAATCCACATGCCATCGACTATGTTCGCCCCAGGAGGGGGAACTGCGTCGACGTAGGTGCCTGTGGACTTCCAGGTTGCCATCTCTGCGTCCATGGCTGTCTGCCACTGAGAGGAGTAGGGACTCGTAATCGCCTCTGCGTAAGAGCGCGGGGTCGGGATGTCTACTGCATCCGGGTCTCCCTTAGGTGCAATCAGCATGGACACGAGATGAGGTACAACAGCTGCAAAAGACTCAAAGTCCTCCTGCCTGTCCTCAAGGACGTCTGTGCCAAGAGCACACTCACCCCCGACGGACGGAGGACAGTCAGACTTAGACTTAGCAACAAGACTAGCGGCGTAGTTGAGACGACAGGCGGCAGCAAAGTCAACAAGCTCAGCAATGAGGGCAGACGCAGCAGCAGACTCAAACGAACGGTGAGTGACAATAGTGGCTAGAAGTCGAGGGACAGTAGGACTGGCAGCACGAACGAAGTCAGACTCAGGGTCCGGACCGTCAGCAAGAGAGG